AAAAAGCAATCGAAGTTTCAACTTTGACCGCGATTTTCTAATAAACAGTCCATCGGACGAATTATTTAGCAACACCAATAGAAGCAGTTTCAATGTCCCTATCAAACTACCAAATCTAGAATCTTTGCTTAAATTTTCGAGTCGTTGGCAGCACTCTTTGCATTTCATTTGCAACTTTAACCAGAAAATTGGTTTATTTACCAATAAATGGGTTGAGATGAGTTTGGTTTGTTGAATAAGCTGTTACTCGTACATTTACAAGCTTAAAATCATGACCTAAATGCGCTAATGAAAAGTTTTTAAGTTGAATTGATTTATTAATTAGTAAAGAGTCAATTGCGTGAAAGAATTATCATTGTAGTTGTTGACATTCTCGAAATATTGAGGCTCAAAGTTTTAAGGCCAATGGCCAAAATCAAGAGAACTATTGTTAAATTGGAAAAATTATTTAGTCAATGATTTGTAACACCAATTTTTATCGACAGATAATTAGTTTCAGAAGTCTAACTTTTACGATTACAGGATGCGGCCGCTTAAACTGAAAATCGAACATATCGTATCTACAGAAAAAGAAAAGTTTTATTTCCCAAAACAAATACATTTTCTGGTTTAGCATCAAAAGTTACAGCAGAAAAATGAGTTTGATGAAAAAACCTGCTTCCGTTATTGTATAAAAAGCGATCGAAGTTTGAACTTTGACTTCGATTTTCTCAAAAACTAACGATCAAAGAAACTTTATAATCACACAAAAGGACTCATTTTTTACGTCCCTCCAAACCAACAGAGTCTAAATTGAAGGAAATAAAGTTTTACCCGTTTTTGCCCTTTTATTTCAATATTTGTAAATTTGCTTATAAATGTGATAATTGTGTTAAATGCGTCTTTTTAGTAGAAACCTTTTCAATTCTTCCGTTCAATCAACTTCAATAACAGAAATAAAATTGCTATGGATAACTTGTAAGGAATAAGTGAAATCATTGAGATGAACAGACCTGAAACTATCTCAGCATTTGAATCAGACAGACTCAAAGGCTAATTTAGTTTATTTATATCTAAATAATTGGCTAAGAAATGAATTCCGTTCAAACTTTGGCTTCTAAATCCAACCTTTCTAATGTAATTTCAATTCTGTAAATATTCAGTTAATTTAGTTCAATATCTATTGTTTTACAAGAAAAACTTGGAAAGATTTTGAAAAATGAAAATAATCTTTGATCATGAAACTCGATGCAAATAACTTACAAGTGTTTACTTGAAATATCAGGTTAACAATGTGAATAGAGTGATACCACAATTGTACTTGAATGATATTTCAATTTAAAGTCAGTTTTTTCTCATTTAGGGAATGCAAGATTATTCTGTTACTTCCAAGTTTCAGCACAAAAGGATAAATTTAAAATGAGATATTGAGAGAAGAAGAAGAGAGAAAAAAGTTTTCCAGATTATAATATGAATAGAATTGAAAATTCATTGAGAAAGGTAAATTTACAAAGGTAACAAAATATAAGATCACAAAAAGCCAAATTGTTGGACCATTTTTTGCCTTCTTTCAACAAATCGCGAATCAAATATTATCACTTTTATCATTTTTTAATATTAAATGTTTGCTCAACTTCAAAAATGCTTCAATTTTCAGTATATTATAACAGTTGCAGGTTGGGAAGGAAAAAAAACTCCCAGCAAGACTGGGAAGCAACAGCAAGAAAAGAGAAGCTACTTTTCACCTAAATTTGGATTTGATGGTAAACCATTTGAAAATGAGTTTAAACTCAGTATTAGTTACAAGATGAAGGGTGAGGATGATGAGAAGGAAGATGAAGGGATGAAAGAAGAACTAAAATGGCGAAGTAAACAATAAATTGAAAAGAATATGTTTATTTATTTATCTATTTTTTGCTTCATCTTCTTCATCTTTTTTCTACCTTCAAACTCTTCTTTCAAATGAAAACAACAATTTCAATAAACTTGAGCTGTTACCTTTACTTTCATTCAATCTACCTTTTTTTGCAATAATAATACTTGACTTTTTTGTTGATATAAAAAAATGAAGATGAAGCAAATGTATTGGTAAAAAGGTAAGCTTTTCAACGCTTTTTTTGCGTGAAAAAAAAGATTCTGTTGAAAGTTATAATTTGAGTTTCTCTGCTTTTTCCTGGTTTTTTACCTTTTTTCTGGTACAATTTTGTTGTTTGAAACTTTTGATCCGACAAAATATTGGGTTAAATGTATTATTGAAATGGGATTTACAGTGAATTTGCTATTTGCTACACAGTTTTATACACTTTTGCCGCAATTAAATGACAAGAAATTTAATGGGTTAACATGTTTCCAGCTTGCATTTTATCCTTTCTATTCTGAATAAAATCAATTAGCTTCTCTTTTCTTTTAACCTGACAGATTGTCTAGACAAATAATTAAACAATTGGATTTTTGGATTAATGATAATCACCGTCTTAAATCATTAAATGGTTAAATCCTTTCAATGTTAATTCAAGTTTCAATTCTTGCAAGTGTAAATAGTTAATGGTTTGACTAATGAAAACTGTCTACAAAGTGAAATATTTATTGGATAAATCATCCAAGTAAATGGCAACCAATTTTAGGTCAACTTCAAGTTCCAAGCAGAAATTCAAGTCTAATTTATTGAATTTAATCTCTACTTTCACCATTAATTTCAATTGTTATTGTTTGTTTTAGAAATTAATTTTCCACAAATCTAAACAGGACTTTTAAACACTAAACAATTTAACTCAAAGGTATGGTCATCGTTGTGAGGACTTGATCTTATTTCTGGTTAATTATGTCTACTATTCCAGTATTGACGAAGAATAGCATAATTCCAGAATATTTTTCTTCGTCAATACTTGTTATTGGCATTATCATGGCTTTTAATAGTCGGTTGAGGTTGGAATGGCTGCTAAAGGAACTTGTAAAGTCTACTTTGAAAGAGCAAAGTCAATACCAAAAGTAATGTTAAAATACAATGTAACTCGTCCTGTGACTTCAGTCTATGCAGCTTTTGTTTCAATGATGCAAATAAGAAGATAATGTTTATTCGTGCTAACCTCGAACCTAACATAGCTTAAAATTGTTGTTATATTTAATAATCACGTCGAAGGATTGGCTCGATTAACTTCTAATGTTCTTTTCCTTTTTACAACTCAACTCTTAACTTGATAGTTTTGTGTGTAATTAATATAACCTGTAATTTCATATTCACGTTTAAGCGTTACAACTATGATTAATTGCTGTCGGGCATATATTAAGTAATTGAATTCGTCAGGCTTCATCTCTGTGATTCCTTGAGTTACGAGCAATTAGGAACTGTTAAGGGAACAATCCAAAGTAAACTAGGTTTACTCGTAGCTTTAGCGATTGTTACCTAATTGGACATAAACCTTGACATTGGTCACATTAATCAATTGTGGTTCAACTGCCAAAGACTTCAATTCTTGAAATAATCTAACCAATACTTGGTTACGAGTGTCTTTTTCCGAGAAAAGGACAAATCCAGTGTAAAAATATCAATAACACTGATGCAAACGCTTGTTTCATTATTAAAAAGTTTACCAGAAACAGTTTTAGATGAAATCAATTTGAATTATAAAACATTTCTCTATTAACTCCAAAGACATTTGTTACTTCAATAGTAAACCTTTGATGAGCAAAGTTTGTAAATATTTTAAAAATAATGTGAAATAAACATTAATCAAAATAATTGCCTTTTAGTTTCCATTTCAATAGTATAATAATATAAACTCCAATGATGTTACGATCTGTAGTGAATCAATCTTGAGAAAATGAGTTTCGAAGGTGGAAAACTTGAAGTCTGCTGAAATTTTGAACAAATTGCACTCATCTAATAAACTTGAAATGAATGTTTGTCAAGATGAGAACAATTTGATTCTGAGATGCAATCATTCTAGTGATCAACACAATTGTTGAAAGCAATTTATTGTCACGTCAATAATGCAAATCTGTCCCATTGAACCAATTGAGTTTAACGTCTTTCATTGTTACCAAACTAAACGTTGAAACAGTGTCCAGTTAATTCAATTATTTGACAAGGTAAAAACTAAACTACAGTTTGATTCTTGTCTTGTTTTATTGATTACTTACTAACAAGATGAGAAGTTTTCAGTCTAAAAATTGAATCAACCCTGAGTCTAAGTTAAAATTGATAAATTTGATGATTTTACTGAACCATTTCAAAACTGAATGAAAACGAAATATCATTAACAAGTCAAAAACTAACTTGAAATGAAAATGAAACAATTAGTGTTGGAAAGGGAAGGTTTTTTACTCCAGAAAAAGCAGCTTTGATGGTTTCTTTGAATAAAGAAAAATGAACAAAAAAGAATCCTAAACGATGGTAAATTGATGAAAAAAAGTTGAAATGATGGAGAAAGCATTTAAAGTCATTAAATATCTAAGTGTTTCCAGGCAATTTGTAGTTACATTGATTCAGTTTACTTGTGGTTTTTGCCTCATCTAATTTGTGAGTTACTTTTCACTTGAAAAACAAAAAGTCTAATAGCAATTTAATTTATATTTCTGGTTAAACCAGAAAAATGTTGAATCGCTTTGAAAATTGATATCCATTTTCATCAATTCTGCTTGCGATATTCAAGTATTTAGTCAAATCAATTCAATTGTGATTTCAATTGTATTCCAAGTGTAGGAATGAAACAATCATCTTTACAAGTGCAAAGTTTGAGAAACACTTGAGATGTGAACAAATGTTTACTTTGATCAGTCACAATTGTTCAACTAAAGTATCAATGGTAACAATTAATACAATCACTTGCCAGGTTAAACAATGGTTATTATCTAATTGTTCAAGATGAAATGATGAGAAATTAAATGTGCAAAAAACATGGAAATGAGGTTGGATTGGATGGAAAGCGCAAAAGTGGGATCAAAATAAATGAATGGATCAAGAGTGTGTTTGGAGATGTTCAATGTTTTTTGGAGTTAATTGTTAGCAGTTGATTACGTACATATACTTCTTCCCATTGGCTCACATAACGAACCAGTCGAGATAAACGTAAAAGTCGAAGTAAACTGAGCATTTTGGCGAAGCGAAATATTCTTAATGCTCTTCCAGCTTGAAGAAGGTGAAAACTGTATTCTTGATTAAATATAAGGAAGATGTAATCCAATGGAATTGAACTAATCAGGTCTAAGAAAAACCAACTTCTTATATATTGTCGGGCTATTTGCTTTGGATCTAGTATCACTTGTTCAGGTAAATCTGGATTCATGATTCCTGCAGAGTTTAAAAGATCAAAAAGCGATTAATCATTGAACATAAATGCAAATTAAAGCTTTAAATTCGAATGCAATTTGGTCAATTGTAGAGGCTTGATAACTTGTTATTGGAAGCTTTCAGATGATTGGAGATCGTTACGAAAGGACTCTGCGTTATGGAATTAATTTGCACCTCAAATAGTAAATCAGATTGCAACTAAAGCAGTTATTTTGCGTTTTGCTAATTTTGTGCTTCTTTGTTGTATTTCGTTATAATGCAAGTTAAAGCTGGAAATGTTTTATAAGTTATTGTAAAGAAATGAAATAAGAAACCCGACAAAGGAGGAAACGAACGCTGTGCATGCAGATTTAGCAAGCTAGATAAACTAGACTCTGGATGTTCAAACATCGTAAACGACTTTTTGTTGCATGAAAGTCCTTTTGAATAAACTAAAGACGAATCTTTCTGTACTTTTGCAGTTCACTGTGTTTATGTCCTTTATGTTAAGGTTTGTTAATAATAGTCAAACAACAGATGAAATGCCTTTTAAATCGCTCTTTAATCTGATTCATTTCCACTTTTGCAAATCAAAGCTCGACTAAATGATGGATTGAACAATTTGCTATTTGTTTATATCAATCGGGTTTTTGTGACTCTCCAATTAAGGAAAAACAAAACGATCAATTCAACCTGGAAAATGCAAATGTTAACAATGGTTTGATTATGAGAATGAAAATGTAATTATAACTGAATTTAGCATTTTATTTTCTCTATCCTTCAATAACTTACAAGCTTTCCAATTGTGTTTCAATGCAAATGAAGGTTCCATTGTTGCTTTGTTTCAATCAATGAAATTATTGTCCAAATTGCTTTCAAAGATAACCAATTATTCAAAAGCACTTACCAGTTCTAAAATTAACAATAATATCCAGAATGAAGATTGTATCGGACAGACAATTAAAAGCTATCCAACGGGTTGATAGGTCATCATTAAAAAAAGATATTGCAACTGGAAGGACAATTAAATTAGCTACCAATAAGAGTAGCATACATAAATCCCAATAAAATCTGATAGAAAGAAATGAAGAAAATATCATTAATAACTAACAATGAGCAACATTTAAATCAAAGGTTATATCAAAAGACAAGTTGAACGTGATTGAAGTACTTTAACAATTATTTTTAATATAAAAAGATGAATTTACTTGTCAATTTTGTAAATCCATTTACCCAAAAATTTCACGATAATTATGGTTTTATTGATTTGAAAGAATCGATAAATGTTTTGAAAGAAGACTCAAGTGTCAATTGACAGTTTATCAGTTGATTGTTCAAGTTAAGTGTAAGCTTTAAACTGGGAAGGATAAAATGGTTGGGAGTTTTTGGCAACATTTCAAGTTGAACTTGTCAAGTTAAAGTCCGAGATTCAATTGTCTTAATGATTAAAGTAAAATATCATTTCAAGTTTAGTTAAAATGCATATTTTGTCACAAAAGCTAATGGTGAAGTAAAGTGTGAAAACATGCATTTTTCAGGGTTAATGGTTTTGTTTTGTTGTTTGCTTGGTTTACTTGGTTTGTTTCATTTTGGTGTTCAACTGAAAATCGTTGAGATAATGAGAATGAATAGACAATAATCATAATGATGTTGTTGATGATGATGTTGGTGGAAGAGTGTTCTGTTGATGTTCTGTAAATTGTACACTTTAAGGTAAAAATAAAGTGAAAATGAATGGATCTTGGTGAGATTATTGTTGATCTATGGGTTAAAGCAATGGAAAGGTGAAGGGATGATGATAATGATGAACCTTTCTTGTTCCCTTTTCCTTTGCTTTTTAACGATTGTTTTCAATATCTTTTCATACCCAGGACATGATATGATTGACACTAATGGAATATTACTTTCTCAAGGTGATTCCACTGTTTCATGATAACAGTATTTATGTAATATGTAACAGTATCAAGAAGTTGAAATGATACTATTTTAATCTTCATGTGGTATAAGTGAGAGGAATAATTTAACTCCAACTGACAGACGAAACATAATTAAAAGAGTTACTCGGTTATTTGGAGATTGATTATTGTGATTTATTTGCTTTCATCTGTTTTATCATGGATTAAGAACAATCTTCTCCTCAATTGATACGATTGACAATAATAACGAAACTGGTTGAACCTTCTAAATACACAAAAGTTTACGTTTATTGATTTAGTTTCACCAAAACTGCTGTCAACTGTTTAAAGATGTTCAACGGAAACTTTGCATTGTTAGTAACAATTGAATCCAAAATTGTCTCAATCAAATTTAATTTTCTTTACAAAGTGACAATTAGATTTTAATACAATTCAAATGACACAAAATCCAATGCAATAACGATTGGATTTGCTTACGATTCCAAGTGAATGATGAATTTAGATTGTTTGTGATCTCGATTCAAGTTTTTCATGTTCTTTGGGTTTGAAGGTTTAAGATGTGAGACTTTGACTTATTTTGATCTGACTGACCGAAATGATCGATCTTTGTAAGGATTGATTGTAACTCAGCTTTAGTCGACTTAATTTCACTTATCTGTTCATTGCAGACGCATTTAACATTTTAGCAACTTCTCAATTCTTATAAGCTAAGGTTTATTGACAATTTTAACCGATCGATCATGATCGATATTAGAAACAAAATCACTGGAAAAAACGAAATTTACTCTTCAAGTCACTGAGCTTGCATCAACTGAGAATCTTGCAATTTAAGGTTAATCATAATAGTTTGCATAACAATTAAACTGATAGAATGAAATACGAATTGATTGAATGATTTAAATGAAATTGTTGAAGCATTTTTTGGTGAAATCGTAAAGCCAAACCTTTCATTTGCAATATCAACATTGATCTGGTTGACACAGAAACGATCATTAATAGTCTTGAGTGTTGATGATTTACATTACGATTTACATTAAATTGAAATCGCAATAAAAATGAGACAGATTTTACCCGCAACATGAAAGGTAAAATTGATCAATGAATTGAATAAATCAAGAGCTGATGATCAATATAAAAAGGAAATGAAAATAGGAACAAAAGGTAAATGTTATTTACTTCACTCGACTGTCTTCATCTTGATCTTCATCTTCGTCAAGAGACATTCTCATCTCACTTGCCAGTGTTTCTCATCAGTCCTTTATCATATTATTTTCATTCAATTTCAATGTCCTTTTCATTATTACATCAACCAATTGGCAATTGTTTTCAGCCTTTTTTACCTTCTCATCAATAAAGAGGAACAGATCAAAACTAATTCAGTTTAAATGTCAACTTAAATTTCCCTAAAGTTTTTTGATGAAATGAAGGGAAAGATAAAGAAAAGGCTGAATAATAAATGAAAGTCAATTGAAAACTGAAATTAAACTTCAATTGACAATTGAACAGAAAAGGCGACTTGAATGGAAAAGTATTGGAACGCGAAAAAAGGTGAAACTAATAGAAAGTGATTGACAAATGCTGAAATGATCAAGAAACGTTTCGTTTGACAATTAAACTTGAAAAGGTAAATTCAATTTGATTCTAATTCCATTATTAATAGGTTATCATGACTGGTTTAAAATTGGAAAACACTTTCATTAACGAATTTTGATCTTTATTGCAAACAATTAACTTAATTTTCATTGAAACCAGTTAATCTTTGCAGCTTTGAAGTAAAATCAATGAACAATTAAAAAGCTTTCACTGGACATTAAACTGAACAATTTCATTGTTAAACCAAATCTAGTGAAGCAACTGATAATAAGCATTCCCTGTCAACAGCCATAATCTTCTTATCATTTCACTTATTCAATTTGATACTAATATTCAATCCATCATCTAAAGTTCATTCGTTGAATCAAATGGATTACTCAAAACTCTGATAAGCAAGTTATCGTTGATTGAAAAGGCAAAATACTTTGATTTGAATCAACTCAAAACATGTAACTTAATAGTTGAAGGCTTCAACTTGGTTCGTTGAATAATGTTGATTTAGTTAAATTAGTGATTTGACAAGAAATTTATTAAAAACAAATTTTATTTCTTATTTTTATCATTATAGCAATATTTTGATAGCAATTGGGAGTTATAGTCAATATTAAGAGTTGAATTTTTCTGTTTAAATCTGTCAATCGTTTTATTTTCTGGTTTTGCATTTCTTGGCTTATGTGACAAAAGTCGAAGTAAATCTCGAAGTTTTAACCAAAATGTTTGCAAGTCCTTCTGACATTCATTAGAAGATAATTGCGATAATTGAAGTTGATATGATTTTGTTGAACATCACATATCAATCAATTGAAGTTATTTTGATGGTTAAATCAATAAGAATGCAATTCTCATATTGATTTAGCTGTAAATTACGATCATTTGAAATTTATTGGCTCTGAAGGTTGGTTAATAGCTGAAAGAAAAATTAGATTTAACTAAATCAATCATTATTAGAGACTTTTGAAGAGACGTTTCTCAACCAAAATTTGTTTCCATTTGAAAACGAAATGAAAAAATCCAAAATAAAACAAATCTTTTGATCTGATCAGAATTTTCGCCTTTAAATCATCAAATTTTAACTTTAAATTTAAACCAAATGCTTTCAGAATGTTCATTCCGATAGAAACAAAATGTTGATTAATGAACACAAATTGAAAGAGCAAAATGATTTGCTTTGAACCAGTTTAACATTCAAAGTGGACATTAGGTTGAAACTTGATGTTCAGTATGAAATCAATTAGCTAACTAGCAACCATTATTATCATCTAACAATGAAGAATCAATCTATTGTATAATTTTCATCATGTAGCAACTCATCATTATCATGTTGATCAAAGAATCTCACAAAAGAGAGAGAAAAGGAAAAAAATGAAAATGAAAAAAGTAAATCAAGTGAATCAAGTGAATAAAGATTAGATTGTTTGTCTGTAAAAGATTCAGAGTTGGATACAGATGACATTGAATCGATCGATTTACCTTTTCCATTGGTTCAACTGATCAACAAGGTAACCTTTAAATAGATTTTTAGACGCAATTATCCAAAAATAGTTGATTGATTTTCCTCTCTCTTCTTATCCAAGCTCATAATCATCATTTTTCATCTTATTCTTGTAATAATACAACTCTCATTCCCAATCCTCTTATCCTCACTCCCTGCCAGGAGGTGGCAATAAATTATTGACAGTTTCAATTTTCCTCCTTCTTTCTGATTCTTTCAACTGTCTAACGATTAACAGGTTAACTTTAATCATTTGGATAATTAAAGTTGAAAGGTGAACCAAAAAAAAAGGGAAAACAGTTTATAAATTGTAGTTTATCAGACAAACGTTGAAACACGAAAAAACGTTTATTCATTTTAATTGCAATTTCACCTTTTAAATTGGGACATTTTCATCATTATTACCATTATGTTACAATTAAATGGTAAATGAAAGGTAACCATGAAAAGCAACATTTATTAATCAACCTCCAAATCACTATTCAAATCACAATGATCAGTGTTTACCATTTTTGTCAAAAGGTTAACCATTTGATCAATTTGAATTGCAGTTTGATGAAGATATTGAATCAGTTTAACCAATTAATCAAAAGTTTTGCCTTTACTTGAACAATTGGATTTCATTACAAAATTATTTTGATTGTTACGGAAACGTTTAACCTTTTCATCATTACAAATGTTAGCAATTATTCAATGTGAAAAATGGTTTTTGAAGGTAAATTGTGTAGGAAGTTGACAATGAACAATCATTCAAATAGACGCAGCTTCTTGAACTGAATTTCAAATAATTATATTAAATTGATCAACTAATGAACCATTCAAAGACTAATTGTTTTCACTGTTTGTCTTGAGTCTTTGTCAGTAGTTTAAAGCAATTCAATCTCTTGGATTTTAATGTTCATGAATCGATTTTTTCTCTCGCTGAGTTTTCTTGAGCATTTGTTATTGTTAATTATCAGTTAATGGATGTTTCCCATTGAAATTTGATTCTTGGGTTATCCTTGACTTTTGGTTTGTTTGTCAAAATGTATTTATAGTTATTTGGTTATGAATTTCATCAAAAATCTGTACACTTTAAATCACTTTGGTAACTGTGATTTGAATTACATGAATGATAATTTGATGGTTTGGTCTATGGATTGACGAGAATGGTTAAGTGATGAAAAATGAGACGAAGCAGAAAGGCAAAGGATTGGGTATTAAATCATGACAATGTAGTAAATATGAAAATATTATAATGTTGAGGTAAGCAGAGAACGAGAAAGTTCATAGAGAATATCAATTTTCAGGTTTAACATTATGTTAGGTGAATATAAATTGGTGAAAGTGAATGCAAAAAATACGACAATGTCAATGATAATGGGTATAATAATAATGATAATAATAGTAACGATGAGATGAGCACATGAGAAAAGGCTATTAATGATGAGAATAATACAAATTGTCATTGTATAGACACATTTATAATCATCTGAGCTGAAAACTCGGAGAAAGAGATAATTAATTTTTTTACGTTTTTCGTTGACTAATGATTAACCAAATTAATATGATAATAGTGCGAGAAGAAGAAATAATTAACAATGAACATTGGTAAAAGTGCTGCACAAGGTAACGCACAAATTGTTTTCATTTTAACCTAAATTCACTGAAAGACAATCGAATGCGAAATTTACTGTCAATATTGATTTTTGTTCATATTGACAATCAAATGAACAATCATCACTTCAATAATTATCTGGCAATTTGTTGGGTCAAAGTGTTGAATGAAATGGAAAGTTGAAAGGTCAATATCACACATTGAATGTAATTTCATTGTTAAACATTGACAAAGAAGCTAATCGATGAGACTTTTTGCAATCAGAGACACTTGATAATCTGTTATTGAACGATTGAACCAAATGATTGAAATTGTTTCCGATTTTATCCGTTTCTTGTTCAGTTATCCTGGAAAGATGGAAAACTAAAATTAGTCAATTGTTCTTTTCTCCAGATTTATCAGAGATTGGAATGAAAGATTTTGAAAAGTTAATTGGACAAATGAGAAAAAAGGTAATCAACGATCGATAATCCAATTGTCAGATTGTCACAAGAAATGAATGGTTTCCACTTTTGGTAACAAATTCAATTTCCATTGCTCAATAGTCCATCATCACGGTGAATCATCATCATTGTTATCATCAACAGTAGTTGTAAGGGTAAAACAAACTATTAAATGATTATAAACCGTTAAACAGTTACCACGATTGACCATCCAAGTAGATAAATATTACAAATACATATCTCTAGATGTACAGCTACTGATATTACTGTTATTACTATTGCAATATCACACTAACCATTAGCTAAAAATACAGATAAACTACTATCATTCAATTTTCACTCTTTCCCTTGACATATACACTAAATATATTGATATTAACTAGATAATTCATGTCCATTGTCCGAGTTTCACTCGAGTTCTGTAAGCCTTTTTGCCTTTTCTTTATCATCTTAATATACATCAGCCATAATGTGCATTTGAAAAACCATTGACTTGGAGGATCAATTCAGCTGTTAATCTCGTAAAATACAAAACTGGAAAAAAATCAATCAATCTTTACATTCATCTGATTTGAAATAATGGCAATAACGACAATGATTCACAGAAGATGCAAGTTTATCCGAGCAAAGTGCCATTCAGTTAACCTGGATATTATATCTGATCTGAAAAGGAAAAGAAAATGATGACAAATAATTTATATAATCGTAATAACAAGAGATGAACGCATTTTACGCATTGATTAACTTACCCTTTTAGATTTGGTTCAATCAAATGTTGAGTCAAAAATAATGAGAACAGATAGATTGATGATTTTTTTTGATATATTTTTACATCTATTTGGCTTTAAAAGGCAATTTCTCAATTCAACATTCATCAATGGATGACCAATCATTCTTATGACCAGATTTCCCGAGTTTCGTATAAAAATATATTCTGAGAGTAAAAATATTGAAACAATAACAGTAATAGGGCGAGATGAATGATAGGCACAAAAAAGTTAAAGTGTTACCCTGATCTAGCAGTTTTTGACTTTTTTTGAGGGTAAAATTTGAAATTTTCATGGAAGGTTTTGTCTCCATGGATAAAATGAAAGCCTTGTCAACTTATCTTTTTGACTTTTGTGAATAGTTACACATTTATTTTGTCTATTTGCAAGTCATTTTTGATCCATTTTATCCTGAAAACATTTCAAATGTTTACCTTGTAACCAAATCATTATTTTTATCTGCAAACATTATTGTGAATGTCTGTCTCAAATTATAATAAATTATTATAAATGACAGTGAAATTACAATTATGCATGGAGAGTAGAAATTAAAATGAAAAAGATGAGAATGGAATACCTGGAGTTATAAATATAAATTGTAAGTTAAATTCCCTGGGGGTTCATCAGGACTGATTGAATGGTCATGTCATGTTAAAGGGTCCAGTCAAGAATACTAATGGTCTTTTCCTCATCATAAGAGTGGACCTTGCAGATCTTTATGTACCTTTCAATTTCAACTGCATCCTCTGTCTGTCTCTGTATACAGTGTATTTGTATAAAGTCATGAGAATGACAATATCTACTGAAATTATCTAGGAATAAAGGTAAGAGAAAAAGGTAAAATCAAATTCACCAAAGACATGGGTTAACTCACTTAAAGGTAATACACTACAGAAATGTAAGGAAACATAATCACTAGTCAAACCTTTCTTTCAATGTATTTAATCGCAGAATATTTTGTAGAGTTGATCGGGAAATGTTAAATGATGACACAAAAATAGACTCTTTAGGTAAAGATTAGAGTTCAAAATGAATAGACATTTTATTCTGTCTGAATCAAATGAATCCAATAAATGATGGTTTTGAATTGTTGCTGTTGTTGATCAAGATGAACAATCTTACGAGACAAAAAAAGAAGGGAAAAAAGTGAAGCTAAAATGGAAACAACAAATACACAAACAGAACAAATAGAGAATGAAATGATCAGAACTTGCAGAAGCAGAAAAAGATTAACTGTCAATTAAACTGTTGATTGTTGGTGATGTTTATGATGGCAAATTGAATGCACAATTTAATAAATCATAAAATTTCAATGTGTTCATGAAAGCACCGTAAATGTTTGTGTCTTAAAAATTATTCAAAAATAAATTGAAACAGAAACAGAAACAATTTTTGCAAAAATCATTTTTGAAAAGTGCGCCTTCATTTTAACGGTTAAATCAAAGAGTAAAGAAGACTTCTGTTATCTTTTGGTTAAACAACGTCTGCAAGTCTAAAGGTTGTCTGTCTGACTTTGAATTCAATTTTGAAAAACTAGTCCAGAACATTCGTAATTATGCCTTAGTGTTTCGTCGATATTTCTTTTTGGGACAAATTTTGTGATAAAAGGTGACCAACAGTAATCTAACAGTTATGCGTTTCTTTAGTTTAATTCAAAATTTAATTTACTTGTTGCTTTATCCACAATATGATTATAATCACTAATGTTTTTCACATGTTTTCATCTTCTTTTTCAGCATTTATCCATTGGTCGTGTACCTGTTCACAGTTTTGGTAATATCTGTAACTCTATTGCGATGTATCTTGTTGCAACTTAATTACCAATTTAACAAGACCAGTTTGGTACTAAATTAACATGTAATGATTATCGAGATGATGATGGTTGTCTAAAGGAACAGATGGCTAAAGTACTCAAAGATACGAAAGCTGAGAAAAGGTTGGCCAAATTGAACAAGTTAACTACATGCAAAGTTGATCAGGAATGGAAAGGAAACTGCAGAGTTGACTACTGATAAATCATCACTAGGTAATTGTAACACCATTGGAAAGTCTAAATATTATGGTTCAATGGTGATAAACTAAATTTGATTGTTAGTTGGAATCCATAGGATGCCTCCAAGTTCATCTTAACACATCGTCATTGTTATCATTCCTTCTCATCTTCATACTGTTTACTTGGAAATTACCTTTTCCCTGTAAAATCTTTCACTCTCTTTGGTGACGCTTTCCTCTCTTCTGATCATCATCTTCATTCTTCCAGACCTTTTCTATTTCCCCTGTTCTCAATCAAATTTACTCGACTCAAATTAGCTGCAAAACTCTTAATTCAAACTCTTAACTCTTGCAAATTCAATTATCTCTATACACAAAGAGTAAAACATAATCTTATAGGCTTATTAATATTTTGCCTGACAAAGTAACAATTATATCATCAAGTCAATTATTTTGTTCACTTAATCACCCAACTCCATGATAGTAATAGAAGGGCAATATTGTTCTTTAAACTTCTTTCGTTTCCAGTGACTTTTAAGATTATCTACATTCATTCAAAATTCATTCCTTCCCAAGACATGAAACAAGTTTCAAATTTTGACCCATTCTATTGACAGAGAGATGTTTGCTCATCATTTAGACTCTAGCTCCTAATTATTTTATTCATAACTGCTCTAGGATATTCTGAATGCTCTTCATTTATATTTCACCAGAATAATGACATTCAATTTTAATTCTATTTACGCATCATACTTAATTTATCTTGCTTAACAATGAGATTTATTTATAAGCCTCCATGAGAAGTAAAAAAATAAGGTGAAACTTATCTAGTTCTCATGGCTTACTCATGAAAAAAACCCTTCATTAAGCTTATCATTCATCTTTTGTTTTTTTCAGATTACTGATGTAAACAATGGAATTAATCATGAAACATTTTCGTTACAAACAAAAATCTCCAAATTTATGTCGTATTATTCAACTTCACAATTGGCAAACCTGAACGCGGTCACTAAAAGGAAAACTGAATGGATGAAGAGACTTCATATGGTCAAAATTTCATCACTTTGTGTCCATTCTCAATCGTCTAGTCAAAGATTGACACTTGGACAAAGCAGACAACTAAAAGCAAAATGGAAATGCAATGGAAAAGATTATTGAACTAAAATTTTGTTTCATCAAAGTTCTATGGCCATTCAGAATTTCTTCCATCAATTTTGTGTCTTGTTCATCATCATACATTAACCAAAATCCTTTTTTTCAAAGTATGCAATCTTCCATCTTCACCATCCTAAATTGTCACTGTCTTTGAAGTGTCTGATCCACTTTTGTCCAATGTTATCCGCTGCTCATCTTCCCTTCATCGTCCTTTCCTCTCAGTCAATACTTGATTCTATATATAAAAATTTGTCTCTCTTCTCTTTCTTTCACCAGGCTTTCACCAATTGTCCAAAGAATCAATGATTCCGGTTTAATGATCAACCTTTCCATTTCTCGTCATCTTCCATTTAAGAGCTTTAATCTGGAGACTTTTGTTATCACTCAAGCAACAAAACCAATACCCAATCCTTAATATATAAAATACATACTATGATCCACTATGTGAGTATAAATTGCCTCTTTTTTATCAACATTTTCCCTGAATATTGAGAAATGAACCCAATCAACCCAGCGTAATTGTAATAACCAAGCTTTTTCGTGTTATTGTTTTAACTTATGTCAACTTATCCTTACCTTTTAATCCACTGAATGATGAAAATCTCACAATCTATTTGATACCCTGAACCTTTGATTTGTATACATTATAACCTTTTATACCCTCAAGTTTTCCAATTGAATCCAATTGTGATAAATTCTCATAGCCAATAAGGGTTATTAATGATCATCATAATCATAAGTAGTTTGATTGTAGTTAAGCAGAAAAGGCAACAAACATTATGACCTTTAATCAATATTAGTTTTGACAATATTTCTTTCAATTTTTCCTCTGATTTAGCTTTTGTTTCTTTTGTTGGTTTCAGGCTTTTGGGTTCAAAACCTACTCATTGTCTGGTATATTTAATGCCAAAAAGTGAATCATTTAATGAGATATTTACTGATATTGGTTTCATGTCTGTAAAACATTCTGGATAACGATGCTATTTCATTCATCAGTGATTTTGGTACTAAGATTGAGAAGATTCAACTTTTAAGTTTACTTGTTTTCATCATTTTTTACCAGGAAATTTATATGCTATTCTTACTCTTGTACTTGCCTGAAGGCTTTTAAGATTAATTCCCAGTTAACATGAACATTTACATAACATAACCTTTAGATTTAACTTTACCCAAACCAGAGATTGAACAGAGTTGAAAGGAACTAATTTTTTCTTTTTTTTGTTGTTTTTATTCACAAATTAATGGGAAACAATCAAGGAATGGTTAAGCTGGAGACAAATTGTTTTGGTCATTGATTTGTGGTTTAATGACGACAATTCCCTGTTTACTGAATTCATCTCGAGTTGTTGACATAACGTGTTAAAACTGACAGTTTACTCAATTCATGGCAATTCAATGTTTACTTTTTTCCGCTATTTACATTAAAAGCTGGATAAAACAAGCTCACGAATGGCAGCAACTTTGATAACCTCAATTGGATTGAATGTGCTTTTGCTTCAGCTTTACTTGCTTTGCTGTTCCAACACCAGTTAATTAAATTTAGATGATAAAGAGCAACTGATTTGGATAAATTGGTAATTGGATTGATACTGATGATCACCTAACCAGTTTCGATACAAAACAAAAGATCAATTATGGAAAGTTATTTTTGATTAGCTGCTCATAACTTATGAATAATGAAATTAATGAACCCATTTCAATTAATTCAGAACCCATTGTTGGCTGATTCACTCAAGATATTAATCAGATTGTCGTTGATAGTAACCATGATTCAAATTCCAATGGGTTAGTAAAACATGAATGTTTCCTGCTTCATTCTTTTATCATGATTCTTACATATTTTAATATTTATCTTCTCTCTCGACTCAAGGAAAGCTATTTCCATGTCCAGTCCAAGTAGACGGAGACCTGAATTTCAAGCAACATGGACCATGAAAGCTAGTATCAATTGCCATGAAAACCTTAGTCAACCGAAGCTAATGGTAAAATCAATGTTTGAACAAAAAAAAATAACAATATTGATAACCATTTCAATGGGTGTATAATGTTGGTTTTATTGCTACTTATATTGTTATTCCGTTGAGAAAGAAGAATGGGAAAATTTCACCAATCAATTTAAAATTCATGATTGTATTCAATCATGTTTACGAGATAAATTCAGTTTAAGATTACTCAGTTTCCTTTCTTTCCTATTCTTCATTCAACTTCACCGTAAATTGAGTAAATTAATCCTCTTCAGTTGTTGAAAAAAAGTTTCATCACCATTAATTGAATGTTTCATTTGAAAGTAAATTAATGGAAGGAAAATTATAATTTTATCAGAACATTGTGAGAAATTCAATTTCTAACTTGGTTATTAACTCAAAATGAAACATGTACAAATTTGATAGCTTAATAACAGCCTTAACAAACTAATTAATCTGATACTTGAATTTAAAGTTTCCTTTCAGACAAATTGTTAGGCCATTGTGAATGTTGATCAGCATAATAACGATTCTCACCTTGAGATAAATATAAATAGTCATAAATGTACAATTTTAATACATTATTTACACGATCAAAGTGCATTCAAATGGATTAAAGTTGAAAGACTTTGAATATTGACTCAAAACGAGGAAAATTTGATTTACAGTCGAATTGAATTCATCTAATTCCAAGATGAAAACGTCTTCAAAAGCCTGAAAAATTCCGAAGATACATTCAAATTTCTGAATCAATACTTGATGAATAAAAAATCGTCAGAATTAGTTAATCTTTCTTTAGTTAAAAGTGTCACTTCTGGACTTTTTCATGATGTTACTTGGTTTTTGTTTTTGAATTTAGATTTTTCACTCGGAAGACTGATCAGAATCAGCGAAATTTCGATTGACTTTTTCATTTTGGAAACTGGATGAAATCAAATCGACTGTAAGTTGCTTTTGCTTTTAATTTTCTGGTCTTTCTCAATCACTACAAACCTCATTGTGATTGATTGTGGTTGGGGAAAGTATCTGAAAATTATACTTATTATTGAATTAACCATTTGTTTCGCCATTCAATTTACTCATCTCAATCAGAATCAGATGAGGAAAAGTAAAAAAGATGAACAAAATGTATACCAATGATTACAGTAGACAATGTAAATTGAATGGGAAACAAATCAAAGTTATTACATTGTCTTACATTCATTTGTTTAGTATAATTTTTTGCTTGTCTCTCGTTTTCAAGTGAAACTGAAAAGGGATAAAAACAAATTCCCAGTTCGTCATTTGATACATTTTTAACGTAAACTTGAATTGAGATATTCATATCAAAATGTATATCTAACATTCAGTTGTCTTTGTTATTCAGGGAATATAATTTTCTGTTTCTCCTAAACAACCTTAGGCTTTCCAATCCCTTCTCTTATAATTCAACATTTTTATTGCTACATTTTGCCAATTCTGAGCAAATTGTGAATAAATTCAGCTTTTCCTCTCATTATCATCTTTTCATCTTCTTTATTGCTTCCATCTATTCACCAGTTTATCATCTATCAGTATATAGTTTGCTGTTTAAACAGTAAAAGTTAATAAAAATAATAATAATCAGCAAGTTATGTTTTGATAAATGTAATAACACTTGAGACAAATGGTAAACATACAGAAACTTTCATTTCTTTGACAATTTGTAAGACTAGAGATGATACAAAATTTAAATTGTTACCATTCAAATTTGTGTATATTAATGTTTGAAATTGAATTCACTTTTCAAATTACTATTCTTATATGAATACGATTGCTAGACATAAATTAATAACATTGTACTGTTTGTTTTTCATTATCGTATTTCATTATTTATGTAAATTATTCAATTAGTTTGCATCTCAAAATCAAATTAATAATAATCATAATTTCAATTTGATAGCAATTTTAATCGATAATGTAAATAAATTGATTTACACTCGTCAGGTTTGCCTAAATGATAACTCGCTCAACATGAGAAATGAGTGTTGAATGTAATTGTAAATTTTGCTTGATTTAACATGAATTTCTTGCAAAATTAATTGATAATTTAATCGAAAAAGGTTTAGAATCAGATTTAAATGATGATTATAATTATGGCTATAAAATGCCATTCAACAGGAAACATATAAAATGTAAATATCATTTACAAGCTCATTAATGTTCACATTAAAGTCAATAATGGTGAGGTTTGTCTTGATGGTTACCAGTTAATTTCAAGTGACAATGATGATTAACTAATTTCATTTTTTCTCCATACAATTAAAAGTACATTTGAGCAAACAATGTTCTAGTTGATTAACTCTTTAATCATGCAAAACGTTGAGTTTCAAAGATTAATCTCGAGTTTGATATTTACAGTTGAAAAACTGTTGTCTCTTCTTTAACATTGCCCATTACAGAGAGTCTCAACTGTTGATTTGGTTTAACATTTTTTTCAACATTTCAGTAATTAAAGTGGCAATAGTAATGATTCGTTTTTTTTATCATTTCAGGAGACAAAATTGACTGGAATACAAGACTAAATGGTGATAAGTGAGGAAATGATTTACATGGAAATGGACGGAAATTTAAAGTTAAAGGATAAAAGGAAATGCAACTTTCACTCCATTTTCAACTGAAACCATTGTAAATGTAGTTTACGATAAAAACAAAATGGCAATGGTAATCACAATCAATTTGCATCATAAAGCAATACAGTTGAACGCATTCTTCTTGTCCTTCAATATTCAACAAACACCATTCCATCCTTTCGTGTAAAAGCTGAGTCAAGTTAATATTTTATGACAAAATGGAAGCTGATTTCTGTCTGAAGCTGACTTCTCAAAATTTTCAACTCCTCCAGTTTGAATGTAAATAGCATGCTGTTGATGGTGATTTGAATGGGTAACTTGTTTACAATGGTTAATTGGGTGAAAAATGCACAAGTGTCAAGAAAATAATATTTCAAGAGTGGTGCCAATCGACATGAACACTTATTCAACTACATGAGATTCTGTTGTTGAATTTAGTGTACAACTGGTGAAGTATTGGATGAAATGGGAAAAGAAGGCAAAAGGATAGACAAAAGGAGTGAATGAGTGAAGAAAACGATTTATGATTTGATAACTGTAATTGAAGGTGTTGTTGTTGTTAAATCTGAAAGTTGTTGTAACTGTCAACTGGAGAGGGAGAGAAACAAATGGCAAGAGTGTTTAATGTATCTTCTCAGAGTGTGTTCAGATGATTGAGGAACAGCAAAAAGACAAAATATTATAACAATCATTTAAACACATTTTTGCGCTTCAAAACTTTTCTCCACAATATTTTCGAATTCTTTCTTTGCCTTTCTTCATCCACTTTTCCCATTTCTCTTTTTTTTTCGAGCTTTGCTTTGCTTTGACTTTTTTCTTGCAACTTCTGATTTTCTTTTCATCATATTCTTTTTTTTCTGTTTCTTCAGTCATCGGAATCCATAGATCTCTGTCTCCAGTTTGTTTCTCTCTGCCATCTTTTTGCTGCTTTGGATCTGCAACACTTTTACCCTGTTTGTTTGTTTATCTGTAATGTGATTCTTCAACTGTTATGGAATTCTTGTCCTTTCGGTTGAAAAATAGTGATAGATTTGTGGTGAAAACAAAGAAAAGGATGAAAAAATATACAAAATAGCGACAACAAAGGTTGCCTAAAAGGAGTTTTTTTCATCAGATAGATGAAGAAAGCAATAATGAGTAAAGAGTCGAGTACAAGAAACAAGGTTCTGAGGTAGATATTAATAAAGAGATTCTCATGGATACTTACAGGGTTGTCTGAGTTGAAAGATGAGAGTAGATAAAAAATCACTGGAACTGGATAAATACCAGAAGTAGGTAATGATGAGAAAAGACAGCAACTTGATACGTGTAATCAATCAAGTTACAGTCTGAAAACAATGGTCAACATTATTTACCAGTGTGTTTAATTAACAAATATTCAAGTTAATGTTATTAATAGATGAGTAAATGTGAAATTGGTTACACAAATGGACACTTGGCACATAATAAAGTATTGTAACAAAGGGAACAAGATGAAGGTTAAGATGAAGCCAACAATTAATGACTGACTATCAATATTTTTATTATCTTTCATGGCTCTAAATCAATCTGTGGTTTTGTTTACCTCACCTCTTAACCTCACCATGAGTTAACATGATTCCTTGCTTCAAAAACATAACTCTATCAATCGAGCAGATTCTTGAACAATTTTGGTAAAGCTTTGTGAACGCGTTTGCTGTTTACACCATTCAAATGTAAGTCGTTTAATTAACAATGTTTACCTTAATGATTAGGTTTTTATAAGTTAATTTAATTTTATCTTTCCGTCTATTATAGATTCAGCAATTAAGATTATCAAAGAACATCTTAAATCCACAAATTATATTCAAAGGCCAAATTAAACCAAACTGTTTACCCTTTTTCACAAGGAATGTTGGTTTTTACTCTCTACGGTTCAAATCAATATCAAACTGGTGGCATATTTAGCTGTTATCAACACTATTTTATACCCAAAATGTGTTAATTAGAGCAAGAAGATTCATTTGTGTACGAAAAACATCACATTTTTCTGTAAAAGCAGGGAAACCCATTCAATGTAAGGTAAATTTCATTTGAAAACTCTGTATCCAAAAACATTACATTGTCGATATTGACTTTTAAATTTCTTTTTGTCTCCTTTTATTGATCCCGGCCTCAGGTTAAGTAGTCAATGAATGAAATTATGGCAACAATTTTACCTCACCTGCAGGTTAAGGTTGGCTGGTTGTTGATGAAAATTGAAGGAAACATTGTACAAAATAAAAGTCAATGATGTAATTTCATCAACAGTTACTGGTTTCTTCATTGGCTTCACTGAATTCACATTGTGGTTCTTCAATAAGATTGTGACATTAGTTTGTAAAATTGAAGGTAAATTCATCAAAATCTTATTGAAAAAAGTTATAATTGAAAAATATTGATTTTTAAATAGAGGAAAGGTTAATCGTTGCAAGTCTAATTGATTAATCGCCCAAAAAAAGTACAAATCATATTGATAACTTACAATACATATTCAATGAGCCTTGAGAATTGATTTTTTTCCTCTCTTTTGTCAATTCTTTCATCAAGGTCATTCCCTGTACATGGAAACATGAGAACATGATCTAACATGACCTTTTCTTTCTTCATCTTATCTCTCCCTTAGGTTCCAACCAAGATCATCCTTAAAGTGGATTAAAAAAGTTGCTTCAGAAACTAAAATTGAATCAACTTCACATTTTCCAAACTCTTCTAGTTCTTCATTTTCTGACTGATGTACACCAAAAGATAGCAGCAAAATTGATGAACTTCATGAAGAGTAAAAAATCGTAACCAGATACACACAACTTTATGCAGACTACTTTGTCTTGGAGCACTTTTCCTGGCTAAAATAACTTTATTCTGGAAGTGAGGCAAAAAAACTAAACGATAACAAAGTAAATTTTTTTTTCTTCAATAACTTGCTCTCAATCTTGCATACAAACAGTGAATATTCAAGGATATTTATCTATATTTCAATGTATATAAATATAGTCATACTCAGTACATTTTGTGAATAAATATCACACCATATTTATTCACATTTCCTCAGGTAAAACTTGAAAATACACTTTAACATGCATCTTTATGCAGAGTTGATCAACACTAGTAAACTTGTTTACCAAAAATTTTCATCGGACAACATTGATTTTCAACTTTACACTCTTCATCTCATTTCCTTTTTTTTACCTGAAAAATGTTCACCTTTATGTACTTCAAGTTTGATGCTTTAAATGCAAAACTTTTCATATTTACAGAAATTTTTTTCCTCTTGCTCTTCATTTTGTCACTGACAGTGTAAAAAAGAGTCAAAATTTGAGTCTAGATTTACTTTGGTTGACAGTAAAAATTGCTATGAATAATTATAAGTTGAGTTAAAAATCAGATTAATAGAATACTTTGCATGTCAAACATTTTTGACATAATTACAGGTTCAACTTGTCTTTTAATTAATTTTAATTGTAATTCATTTCGATATATTAATTAATGGAAAGAAATTCTCTTTTTTTAGAAGCAAATTAGTAATTACCTGAAATTACTGCAAGGATGAATAATCCAATGGCCAGACTCTTTTTGGCGAAGTCGCTCTTTCATCAAAGCTTTCTTGGATCCAAACAATTTCATTGCTAATTTATTGTCCGAAGGTTGAAACAGAGCTTCAATCTGATGTCTCATGAAGGAAGCTTTCGCTTCACCGAATCCAGGAGCCATTTCTTCCTTAGGAGTCCCGTAAAGGCTTATGTCATCCTTTTCGTTGACAGTTGCTGATGAACTTTCCCTGACTGTGATCACAGGCGGTGATCCAGGGTGGGAACTTGATTCTTTCATGTAATTCATTTCTCTGTAATTCTTGTCTACAGATGTTGGTCTAATTGGTCTTAATGGTGATGGTCGGGTTGCTGGTGGTTGCAGTGATGATGAGCTCACTTGTTGGTCCACTTGCTCTTGATCACTCAAAGTTATGGATGATCCATCGATAACGATAAATGCATTGTTATCGTTAAGATAATCTTCATTAAGGGAAACTGAACGATTCGTTACTTTTCCGTTGGCGAACCTTAGACTCGAGAATCTCCGAGCCTTTCGTCCAGAGCCGGGCATAGACGATATACTGGTAAATAGATTGGTAACACTTTTATACTTTGAACAGAAAAAACAATTTATAAATTTATTTCAAATTCTCTTTTCTTTTTTCTATCTTTCACTTTTTCCTTTTGTTTTACAGAATTTTTTTGTTGCCTCGAATTTATCAAATGTCAAAATTCCAATGGAAATCACGAAGAAAACTAATCTTTCAATGAATTGAATGCGTGTCAACTTTCAATGTCTCCTTATATTATCATCTTTGGTTAACATGTTTCAAAACAAAGCACCGCTATTGGATTGATTTGAACAACGATGATTTAGGAGTTGATTCACTGATGCTGGTGATTAAAGTGCCACGTTAAACTTGATGAGGAAATTGTGAGCCAGTAAAGCTGTTCCTTAAACAATAATGTTCACCATTATTGAATCATCAACAGATTATAATTTGAAATTGGATGAACCTGTAAATTGGAGAGAAAAATTGTAAACAAAATGAGAAATCCTATTTTCCATTGCAATTTTGTTGGCTTTAAAATGAGATCTCTTTACTTTCCAGTTTTGACTTGAATTAACTAAATTATCAACCTTTATTGATCGTTTAATTAACACTCAATGAAACTAAAAGATAATGAATGGCTTTTTGGAACTGCAAGAGAAGGATTCACGAGAAAAGTGAAATTGATGCAAAAGGTACATCTTATATTCAATGAGTGATAAGATATTCTGGTATTTATATTGTAATGATGAACAAATTTTCTGTTTATCAAAGCATTTTTACCAATTTAATATGTGTGTTTGGTTGAGTTAACAAGGAAAAACCATCTTAATCAACTGTATCATGAAGGTAATAGTAAATTGAAAAGAGACTTAACATCTATTAATTTATCTTCTTTTTTTCTCTCTCCCTTCCAGTTTATCTTCATCTTCTGAACACATCAATCCACATCCCTAATGATCCATCACCACCAATGATTATCATAACCATTGGTTGGTTAAAAAAGGTAAATGAACTGAATCAAATGTAAATTGTTACCATCACCACTTTGTTAGGTTTCCTTGTTGATATTTTGTTCACTGTGTTACCAAAGAGACTACAGATTAACTATTATTATAAGGGTCTCTAACTGTTAACCCATTTTTATATCAACTTATTATCTATTCAATTTTCAAACTCATCTTGAGAGGTTCAGATTTTGGCAGCATTATTCATTTAACCACTTCTTTTTACATGTTTACACCCAAAAATCAACTTTATCATTCCGGTAACTGATGATCTAATAATAATGATAGAGATATTAATGATGAGAAGGGATAATTTATTGAAATGCATCTGTTTAAAGTAAGCAAAAGATTCTGAGCTCATCTGAATATTTAATGTAACAGCTAACCATTGATTTGATTAATGTTAATTTTAGTCTTGCAAATAGTCCCAAAGAAACAGTTAATCGAGGTAATTTAAATTTTCAACTCTCAATCAACAGGTAAAAACAAAAGTGAATATTGAAATATTAAAGATTCAACTGTCGACTAATCATCTTTTTCATCTCTAATCTTAGATATCCTAATGAATTGGTGATTAAAAGGGTTCCAATGGTTCTCAATGCATCTCCTGAGGCAATCAACGTTCCATCGAGTTATAATTTGTAATTTGATAATGCAAATTGTGCTTCGTAATTCATTGTTATTAACGATATAATTGGATATTCAAGAGCAATTTCAAGATATGAAGTGGAGACAAAAAATTACCACAAGAAACTAATATTGTCAAGTTGTAAATGAAATGTAAAACCTTTAGTTTTACATGGTTTACTGGAAACAATTAGTTCAATTAATATCATTTAAATGAAGATGTGTTATCAGAGATATTGAAGGGCTTTTATATGTATTGAATTATATGATTAACCATATTAAGTTATAAGTTAAAAGGCACAAAGAAATGGAATCAAAGTTTCGACAATTCTGCTTTAAGCAAGTTACCCAAATTGATGGAAACATTTTCTCATCATCAGCATCATCCGCTACAAATATGAATATTTAATTATTCAATGGTGGTCACAGGTTGACTGATATTAATACAATTTTCAGAACTGAATTTACCAATTGATTAAGTTAATGTTTTATATTAAGATACACTTTTCAACTGGGAAAACTCGGTGAAATATTTTCACCAAGAAAATTGACTATCTCTGAGCTGAATGATTTAGCTGTTCATAATCTGATTATAACATTACAATCATGATTACATACAGACATAACCAGAAATGTTAAGTTAATGTAACTTGGTTGATTATGCAGGCAAAAAAGTGGATTTTTGTGAATAATGTTGAGTAAAGACACAAACAATTGGAGAAAGGCAAGTTGAAATTTATTATCAGGTGAAGATGAACAAGGTGAGACAAGATAAACTGTTTGAGGTGAAGCTTCACCTTTAGTCTATTATCATGTACATCGACAGGTAACAATTTGAAAATAATGATAAAAAAAAGGAAACAGAATGTGAAAACAAAAGGTACAAAAATCAATGAATGAAGGAATCGAAAAGTTGAGTGAAATTGGTGAAGGTGAAGGGTATAAATACTTTACCATTGATCTATTATTAAACAAGTATCACTATTATTATAATTGTCTGAGTTGATTCACGCAATTACAATGCTCTAGACAAACACACAAACACTCTAATTTTAATAGTTAATTGTAGATTGCTATAAACATGAATGATACAAAAAATCATTCAATACTTACATTAATGTAACAAAATGTTTGGTGAAACAAACAAATGTAAAAATGAATGTTCACTAAACTAATACACGAAAGTGTATTTTATGTACAATCCTTGCGGTTGAATTGTTTAAAGATGAATTAATCACTTAATTTTACCGTTTAATTGTTGAAGGGAAGTTGTTGAAAGACGTAACAATGAAAGGTTAACAATTAAAAATATGAAACAATTTGTTAAACTAAACCAGAAAAGGTTGCAATTGATAACAGTGAATGTCGCTGTTGGCGCTCAAGTTAATGTCACAGGTTGAGAGGGAAAAATGAAAATTAAAAGTTTACCATTTTTTTTTGGTGAAAAAGGAAAATAAAGAAGTTCTGAGAAAAATTGGAACTTATCTAATGTTCCTTCTCAGTTTTCCCTGATTTTCAAACTAAAACTAGTTGCAACAAAAGGTATAGGATTGAAGGTAAAAGACGATTAAGACTCATGAGCAATTGGTGTGTTTGTCTGAGTGAGAAACATGATGATGGCAGGAATCGATATTGTTGCTTAGTGATGAGTGAGATTAACAGACAAACAGATAGATGATGATGAGGATGATGATGAGCAGATAAACATTGGCATAATTCAGAGACAAGATGAAAAAGGCGAAGAAAATGTGAAAAGATTTAATGAATAACTCTATTAAAGGCTTTTAAATGTCTAAATTTAACATTGAAAGTGATTTTAATTTACCTTTTTTTCGTCTTCTTCTTGTACATTGTAATTCATTGCATGTTAACTTTTATCACTGTTTAAAGTATGACAATGAGTCAATTACAATTGTACTTTCATTCAATTCAATCTGTAAATTGCTTGAACAATGTTGCTTTCATTACAATCATTGATACCGCTGATGATTTGCGTTTGCAGCAATTGCAACGGTTTGAGTTTTCATTATTTACAGTTTAAGAGTAACTTTAAAAATGATTTTTCTCTCACACTTTTTTCATATTCAATGAAAATTGATTTAATCTGAATGTTCATCGTTTTGCTTGCATAATTCAACATCTTTACCTTTTTCCAGTTGAATTGCTTTTTCTGCAACTTTTTCTTCACCTCATTATTGATGTAAAATAATCAATACATTATGATTATAATCATGATAATGTTAACAAAATTGTTTAATATGTATATCGAGGTTTCATATGAATAAATGAATGACAATTTTCACTCAAATTTTCATTCAGGATTGATAGTTGGATTAACCTTAACTGCTGCTTATCTGTTTATTTTGATAATTGCAAGGCTGAGGAATTAGTTAATTGGATGAGTTTGCAGGAGATGCGGTTATTTCCCTGCAATGGGTTGAACTTGAATCCATTGATTTAATGGATTGATGTAAAGTCGCTGCAAATCACTGAGTAAAAGTCAATCGTAAATATTATGCATTACCTGAGATTAAATCATTTCCTACTTGGAAGAATTGGAATTGAATGAATTTTCTGAAAAACTGATAAAATTTACTTTGAGTTAACTCCATTCAACAAGATGTTCAACATATTTGACAAGAGTTTGGACCAATTTTCCTTGTACAAATAGTCAATATTTTGATTTGAAAGGTTCCCTTCTGTAATGGTTAAAGGATTGATTGTTGCTAATGAGCAGTTGAAAAGTTGCAATTTGTCAACAATTTTTTTGCTTTATTTTCAAGAAAAACTATTTTCTCCAACAAATTGATTTCTTGGTTTAACCAGAGTTTTTAATGAGTTACCAGCCATTAGCTAACCTTCAAAATCTGATTCAGTGGACAGTCTTTAAAGTCAATTTTTTCAATTACAATGTATTACCTTTACAATTGATCAATCCAATCTAATTGACTCAATTTTTCACCTTCTTAAACAATCGTTTTAACATCTTTTTAACCCAATATCTAACCAATGTCTTTACCTAATCTAGATGAACAAGCAAATATTTTAATCCAAGATCCTGATCAACTCTAATCAAACAATGTTATCGTCTAAATTATGCTCTAAGCTTCCCTTTACCTGGAGTAATGCTTTCTCTTGATTACAATTATGTTTACATTTATTAGGAATCAACTGTTTACTTAAAGTACTAGTTTAATGTATTTGTAATGGCAATAAATAAATACAATTGAAATGCTATTGATGATCAACATTCAGCTCCTTTATTCCAGCCTTGATTGTGATAAACCTTCAAATTATTATTTGATAAAATATCTTTCAATTTTATTCTTGTTGTGTTTTTATTACAAAAGCCTGAGGTTATTTCAAACAATTTACAATTGATTCTTCAATCAGATCAAACATTTTTCGCCAGAAAATCAAAAAGGTTTATTTATTTCACCAGTTTGTAGTCATGGTTCACGAACGGTTTACAGATCTCAGATTTAATGACCTTTACAGTTCGAACTTAAGGCTCAACATTTTTCCTAAGCTAATGGTTCAAATCTGGGATCTGTGATAAATTGCTGTTCAATTTGTTAAACACAAAGCAGATTCAAAATATTGTAACCATCGTTAAATGGGTTGATAATCAACTTGATAATTGTCTTTATTTTTACTCAAGTGAATCCAGTAAGAAAGTGTTTCAATGCTGATTGAAGGACGAAGTTGATTACAGATTATAATTGTCAATGAAAATGGATTTAGATTTAATGGTTGTTGTATTTTGTCAGTTAATCAAAGCTAATGGTAAAAGTCTCATGAGATAAATCAGTTGAGAAAAGACTAATTGTTTCATTCAGCAAAGGCAATAATTTTCCATCAAATTGCTTGTTGATTGTCATTATCCTCACTTTTCTTGTGAAAAAGCTGATAATTCATTCATTTAGGTGTTGTAATTATGCAAATCAATGAGTGTCTGTTAGGAAATTATATTTAAATAATTATTGAAAATTTTCTGTCGATCGAGAAATTTTTATCATTAAATTGAAGCATTAATTGTTCAACAATTAACTTGCAACTGTTAAAAGTCAGTAGTGTCATCTATTGAGTCAATTTGGATGAAATTAATCGAAAATCTGTTTCTTTTTAAAATCATCAGGTGGCACTCGTGAAACACAATTTTAGCAGAGATCAAGTTTGATCTTAAATCTGGTTTAATTTTGAGGGATAATTTTTGTTGTTGATTAACCGATTGTGTAAATTGTCTTATATTTATTCTGTTTAAACATGTTTTGGAGTACTGAATTGGCAACAACAACGTCTCAAATCAATTCTTTATTGGAAGATGAGGTAGGTCATTAAATGATTTCTCTGCCTATCTAATTTTATTTTGTCTTTTTTTATTGATTATCAACATCGAAGTATGTTACATTAGAGACTATTCTGGATCAAGAAGATATACTACACGAATGTAAATTGGGAAATAAATTGCTTATTGATTAGTAAGTTGAAATATTTGAGATATGCATGATAATATGTTATATAATTGACTTTTATCCATCCCATCTATCGTCATGAACAATGTGATGGAAAAGGGATGAAAAATGTCTTTTTCTGTTATCTAATAATTATTCTCGTTTATTTTTTCAGTCTCTGTCAACCCGATATTTTAATGAAACTGGTCACATTGGTTACATCTGATCCACCTGATGATGCTGATGAAAGAAATAGATATAAATATGCTAACATGGCCTGTGAGGTTTTATCCTCCGAAAAAAGTCAAATATGTGAAACATTTGCTAACCATCCTGATTTAGTGTCAATTTTGTATGAAAAGCTGCAATCTGCAGAACCGTTGAACCCACTTTTGGCTAGTCTTATTTGCAAAGTGATATTTAGTTTACCGCAAAATGTGTCTAAAGTTTCTGATGACATTCACTCGAGGCGAGATGATTTTGTTTCATCTTTAGTTGCCCACATTGGCACTTCAGCAGTTATGGATCTTCTCTTTAAATCTCTTTCATGCTCCGATTCGCCCGAAATATCATCAGCTTACCTTAATGTAAGTCTATTTTTTCGCAGACTTCGCTTCTTAAATCTCACACCTTGATTTTATTTATATTTATGACAGTTCTATCACAAACAAGGATTGGTGGAAAAACTGATTGCGCTGTTTAAGGCAGATGTTGATCCAGCTGCTCAATCGAATGCAGCCCAGCTACTTTGCGATATAATTCGATTCAGTCGAGAACATCAAACTTGTAATCAAGAAAATGCTGGACCAAACCCTCTATTGGATGATATAGAATCGACTGACACAATAACCAACTTGTTAGCCAATATGTTTGAAACGAGAACTGAGTCATGCCTAGTTAATGGTATTCAAGTTATCCAAGCTCTTCTGGAATATCGCCGCTATCGTGCCAATCTGCCGCCAAAACAACCTCCTGTTGATGAAGAAACTGGCGCAGAAAGTAAAATTGAAATCGGTGATATTGGCACATTAGAAAAAATGATTTCATATCCCATGTTTTCTGTCAACGAAACAGCGTTACCAGATTTAATGACTCCGCTCGATATTGAACGATTAACGAAAAGTGTGCGGCAGGTTCATGCTGCAATCGTGCCTCGCCTCGAAGATTTTCATTCCCTGCTCACCAACCCGCCAGAAAAGAGCCCAGTCCGAACTACAATTGGTTTAATTGAGAAACCGTTCGGCGCCACCAGAGTTGAGGTGGTTCATCTCATCCGAGCTTTATTAAGTAGCAATAATCCGACAATTAACCGCAAATTAACTACTCTAAAAACATTGCCTGTTTTGATGGATCTTTTCTTCGCTTATGCATACAACAATTTTCTACACACTCAAGTTGAGCAAAGTATTAATTGCATTCTAGACAATGCAAAATCTACCTCACCTGTAACAAGTCCCACCGAAATCAAAGAGACAGGTGGTGATCAAGACGGAACAACTAATCCTGCAAAAGAAATCGAAAATGTCACATCTCTAGTTCACCAACTACTGGTTGAATACAACTTAATCCAAAAAATACTCGATACTTACACACACTTCAAAGAAAACCAATCACCTGTTAAACCGGCGTACATGGGGCACATAATCAAAATTGCTAATCACATCCTATCGACTAAGGATATAGCAGTGGTTGAAACTTGCTTCAACTCTTTGGATTCTGAACTTAAAGAAAATTGGAACGAGTGGGTCGAAGAAACACTGAATTTAATCAACATGAAGATGCAATTTCCCCTAGTCAAAGAATCCATTGAAAATGAATAAAACTTTTAAAAAAACATTACAAAACAAATTATTTTGATGTGCTTTTTTTTCTTCATTCTTCGCGAATTTAAAGAAATGTAAAAATATTAGCGAAAAATAGTGAAAATGAAATTTTATTGACAAATCATTAAGAAGCAAAGGTTTACAACGTGTTAGCTCAATTAGCACTTGCAAGGACCAATAATTGAGAGAAGTTTGGGTAAAGATGAGTTCGACTGGAGATAAAAGTAGTACCATAAGATGAAAACAACATTGGCTCCAACATTAGATCGTATTTTCCCTCCAGTCTGGCAAATATAAATAAAAAATTCATTAGATTAATTGGATTTCTTACCTGATTTGTTGGACTTATCCGCAGATTCAAGTTCAAGTGATGAAATTTTTCGATAAACTAATGATGCTGATGTTTGTTAGAGTTGGTAAGATGATATCCAAGCCTTGATCATGACTCGAGCCAAACGAACAAAACATTGATTGTTGATACATAAACAATTGAAAGTTGATAGATTTAACATAATCAACAGATCTTAAAGCATGGGTGAAACAAAAAAGGTTTGGTAATAATTATCAGGATGGAATGAAGGTCCGGAAAAAAAATAAACTAAATGATTGTGTTATATCCACCATGAGATGTTAAAAGAGATGTTATTAACGAGTTTTGTTGACGAATGGATCGAGTTGAGATCAGGCCGGTTTGATGCCAACAACGGTGTCTAACAAAGCCAACAAGGTGAAGTAAAAAACATATTCCTTTGGAAGAGAAAAATGATAATCTATGAAAAAATACGCATAAAATGTCATTTCAAGAGCACAGTTGGATACAATTAATACAATAGCAATAAATGATTAACCAAATGATCACTGGAAACAATTAACGGTTCAAAAAAATGGAAGACTCGAAGAGTGAAAAGAAAAACAAAAGTCAAGCAAAAGTGATTTCACTATTGGTAATGGATAGCAACTACAAGGGACTCGAGGAGAGAAAAATTTGCTTCATGAAAGTTTCTACGGATGAATGAATAGTCCACAGGGAAACTGAATCCTCTATATTTATACTCTCAGGGATTGGGCGTACATTATATGATTATGAGCGAGGAGACACGCAATTACTTAACATAATTTCAGGACTAACATGATCATCACTATCATCAACATTTTCCCCTTCATTTCTCTTCATTTCTCTTCAACTCTGTTTATCTATCTTCTTCACATGGACTTGAAGCCTCTTCTCAATCTTTTTCTTCCGGCTTCTTCCCTTTCAATTTACAACCTACCAATAATGGGTCCAAGTTTACCTCCCAAACTCCCAAAAAAATAGACTAAAAACCAAAAACTCCCTCAACTTCCTCCATCAATTTATCTCTCTCTCTCTCTCTCTCTCTAACTTACTCACTCATCTTTGACTCACTTACCTTTTTTAATAACTTTCACTCCCAATTTGGAGTCAATTTTGTTTTTATCTGCTGGTCGTACCTTTTATATCCAGTCAAACTCACCTTAAAGCAAACTTGGTCTTTCCATTTTCCTCTTTCCTCGCTTTCTTTTTTTTCTTCCCCATTCTCTGTCTTCTTTTCCCAATGTTCAACATATTATCATGATAATAACCTGGATCTGGCCCATTCTCATCTTATTATTGGGTCTGATCGAGTCCACACCCAACATGAATGACAAGTCTCAACCCTTGGCTTCACCATTTTATCATCTTCGTCTCAATCTACCTTTGATCCTTTCATTTTACTTTCTCCACCCGGCTTCTCTCATCATCATCCCCATCATCACAATGTAGTCTCGTCTTCCGCCTTCATTTACATCATCTTTTTTACTCTTCATTTAAATCCTCAACATCACCTTTACGTTCGAGTAACCTTCTTAAACAATACATTTCTCTGAAAATTAATCATCATTATTTTGTTTAATATTTCATAGATTTTGTCTCAACAATTGTTATCATCATTTCACCAAATTCATCTTCCATCTTCTTAACTGTAGGTGAGACTGATGATTGAGGGTGAGTCCATTAAAATGTAATGTTTCATATAAAAATCACTCTCTGAGTAAGTAATAAAAGGAGGCGTCGTTTTGATCATCGTTCATGATGATGATGATGATCAGAGCAACACTGAAATGATGGAATTGAAGAGGTAAAGGTAAACTTCATAAAGCCAATGTTCAACATGAGACTCGCCCGAATCTTAAAACCAATGTTCAACAGTAAATCTATTGATTTTCATTGTCATCATTTTTGTACCTTTTGATCGCCTTCAATCGACTACTCTCGGCCTCTCCCTTTATCATCATTATCCTCACCATTTAACCATTTTTCAACATCATCATCTTACAATATTGCATTGTAAATCATTCATAGTTGACTGTAACGACTGTGCTTATAAAATATAATTAAAACATGAGTTTGTGAGGTTTTCATTAAAATCATTATCTTTGATTTGATAAATCTGGAAAATTGTTATTTTTAAAGCAACAGAAGAAGGATTTAATCAAAATAATGTTCACTCAATTTGCTATTGAATGTAAAACCCAATTTCTGGGTAGAAACTGGTTGAGTTAATTAGTTAATTTGGCTTAATGTTTTTTTAGACTAGACATTGTTAAGTTTGAATCACTCATGAGTGGACTTGTCATACTTTCATTAGCCTGGTTCAATATGACTCATTAAAAATCAGTTGTATCTCTTTCTCAATCAAAAGTGATTACAAATGATGAATTGACAAACAACAAATGATGGAAAGCCTTGAGATTGAAATTGACCGAGTAAATATTTGATTGTTCAGATTGAGACTTTCATTATTCCAGATTAAGAGTAAAAAGATGGATGAAGATGACGATGATAAATATCATGTTAGTAGGCAAAGTTGAAACACGAAGGTCCATTAAGAGTCTTTATGGTTAACCTTTCATTTTTTTACTGCAAAACTAGAAATGTCCATCTGTTAAGCTGAGGTGATGCAGATAATTATAATTCAACTGACAAACTTGTTTCAATACAATGGTCAATTTACATGTAATTACTTTAAAGATTTTATGAACAAAATAGAGAATGAAAAAGCAACCAAAATGTAATGAAATTGTGTCCATCTTTACCTTTGACTTTGGTTAAATATTGGCCATTTTATTGACTTTCATCGAGTCCAATTGCCCATAATTCACAATAATTGTCGATAAGTTTAGTTCATAATCAAGTTTAATGCGACTTTTGTTGCTGTTACTAATCATTGTCCAATTTTGTTAAACTTATTCTTTCATTTGTGAAGCTTATAAAATGAGACTATTTTGTGTATAAGAGCAATTATACTTCACGAGATGATTGAAATAATTGAACAAGTTATAGATTTGGTAAATAATTTATTATAAATTTAATTGTTTCAGGTCACTACAAGCTTGGTTGAATTGCTCATCTTTGATCAATTACATTTGTTTTTGGCAAACAAAAAGTCAATTTGTTAAAACAATATCTTTCGCTTGACTACCATTGAAATAACCAGATAGCAGCAGCAATAACAGCATTCATTGTCATTTCACTTTTCATTAATAAAAATGAAAATATGATTTGAATCTCAAGTTTTTGTGTGTTTGTTATGATTCTTGTTATCGTATTCTTGATACGATAATCGGAAATATTTTTTATCGGAAGATCCCAACTGTTTTAATCTTGTGAAATTTTCAATGTCAGTTAATTTTGATGCTATGGCAAACAGCAGATTAAAAGTCACAGTCACCTGATTGAGTTGAGCTCGGTTTACCTGTTCGTATTTTGGTAATACGATATTGATGTAGGTTAAATCATTGAAATGAAAGTATTTATAGCATTTGATGATCACGGATTGAATTTTATATCCACAGTTTTAATCCACCAGGACTCGTGATTAACATAGTTGGGAAACACAAGTTATCAAAATGATAACTGTTTCAATGTTAAAGTGGTTTTCAAAAATAAAACTCATCATGCTACTGGCTTTTACTTTGAAATGAGCGGTACAATGTTGGTACAATATTGGTAATTAATGAGAAATTAACTTTATTCGTTATTTATTTCAGTGTAAAACTATTTTCACTGTTAGTTGGTTAACCCAATGCTTAAACAACTCTTAAAATTTCCGCGAGTTAATTAAGAATCGGAAAGTGCCTAACATTTCTTTCCTTTGTTTTGTTTATGGTTTCAAGATTGGTTTTAAGCTTTTAGTGAATAAGTTTGTTGTTTTAAAATGTTATTAATTTTGATAACACTGATTAGTGTTTACTTTACCCCGAGTCAATTGCTGGAAGAATCAACATTTAAAGTGAATAGCAATTATAATAGACCTGTCATTGGAATACTAACATTACCTGATGATGACACCGGTAATCGTACATCGCCTTCCAATTTTCCTGCCAGTTATGTGAAGTTCATTGAATCAGCTGGTGCACGAGTCCTTCCAGTTTTCATTGGACGTGATGAAGATTATTACAAATCAATTATGAATATAACCAATGGAATGCTGTTTACTGGTGGATCAACTAATCTGAGAGATTCAATTTACACTTCAACAGCTTCAATTATCTGGTCATATGCTCTTCAGTTGAATCAAGCTGGAGATTACTATCCACTTTGGGGAACTTGCCAAGGCTTTGAATTATTCCTTTATTTAGTCAGTGATCAACAATGGCCATTAGTTTCCTGCTCAGCCATTAATTTGGCTGGAAAAGTTACTTTCTTATTAGACGATAAACAACTCAAAGAAACCAAATTGTTCAAAAATGCTCCAAACTCTATCATAAAGGTGAGATAACAGCATTTACTTGATAAACACAGACACACTGAATTGATTTACTAATTGTATTCTTGCTCTCTACAGGCACTTGCAAATGATCCGGTAACTTTCAATTGGCATGATTGGTGTTTACCAGTTGGATATATGTATTTACCAAAATTGCAAGCTTTTTTCACTGCCATGTCAAAAAGTGTCGATTATAAAGGATTGGAATTTATTTCAATGATTGAAGCAAAAGATTTTCCATTTTATGGTGTTCAATTTCATCCCGAGAAGCCTCCTTATGAGCCAGTAATTAATCCTCGTTATACTAATACTCCACAAACACTGGAGGCCATATTGGTTAGCCAATATTTTTCCAATTTTTTCATCAGTGAAACCAGAAAGAGTCACCATATTTATCCTGAAACAGAATATTATCGATCTCAATTAATCTACAATTACTGTCCTCAATACACAGGAATCAACGCATCTGCATCAAATGTCGAGACATATTACTTCTACTAAAATTATGATCTACTGCAGCAGTCAATAAACAGCTAAAGCCATAATTATCCAGTAAAAAATATCGTTGGCTGAGAAATAGCCTCAAGTGGTTAAAGATTGAATAAAGATTTTTTACAAACATTTCTAACATCAGAGTCAATGTCTTCTCAAACTTATTGTATCTTCATATTTGGTTTGAAATGTACCACAATCTGGACTTCCAATGTTAACTTAATTTGTCAAAATGATACTTTTAATTGGTGGTTAATTCAAAATCAATATAATTTTGGATTCTACCCGAATCTTGCAATGAACATCGCAAGAATATTTATGTAAACATTCAATACATCGCATGATTTGCCTAACATTAAACTCACAAAAGCTCAGGATTACATAAAACTTGAGCGTAATTTTGAAAGAAATAATATTCTCTACTTTTGATTATAATGGTTGGGATAATTATCATAATTGTTTCAAAAATGCTGTAAACACAATGAAGTGTTGTTGCCCTTTCAAGATTTGCCTAATTGAAGATGGCCCTTGCTTTGTTATCTGATCTTTATCACCTTAATCATCCACGTCCTCTTCATCATCGTCATCATAAGCCTCCTCCTTCTTCCTAGACATTTGTGAAGAAAGAGAAAGAGAAAGGATAGCGACCGGTTCGATCGGTTTCATTACTGTTTTGAAAGTAAGTGGATAACCCTTTTTATTTCACCAAGCGCTTGAGGCTAAACAAAGATAGAAATGATGATAATGATGACGATGATGGCAATTGCCTTAATAAAAAATATTTTCTGTTTTTCTTTTAACTCGATCTGTATTACAATCCAATTGTATTGAAGAGCATATTTTAACTTTCGTGGTCGCCATCCATCTAATCTTGTCGTTAAAGGGAGTGTGTTAAGGCTGGGTCTGAAGTATATGTCCGAGGCTATGAAAAGGGGCGAAACAGAGGGATCAGGGCAAATTGCACTAAGTAATTGTACACTAAGTGTCCACTGTAAAGTTAATTATACTGTTCATCTCCCTCGGCCTTTCTCTCTTGCAACCCAATCTCTCTTTTTCTGGTCCAGTATTTAAGATTGAACCATTTTTACGGCATTCACTTCTTTCTGTCTAACTCAGTTACTTCTTCTTACTTTCATCATTCTTGAAAATTTCACCAATTTTTCATCAGTAAAAATGAAACTCGGACTAGTTATCGCAACTTTCATTTGCTTATTTGCTGTCGCCTTAGCTTATCCTTATCCTTACAGACGCGGAGGATTTGGTAATGGATTCGGAGTCGGAATGGGAAGTGGTAAGTTTATCGTTAATTATTTTGATATTTCTTGTTGAATTTAAGTGATGCTGCTCTTCCTTGCACAATTTGCTATTGAATCTTTTATAAGATCAGTAAGATTATTTATCAGTAGATATCGTAAAATAGTCTTTTGGTTGAGTTTTTGTCACTCTGTCAGTTCATTTGAGATTTATTAAAATAATGTTTTGTATTCAATTCTGTTTTGTTTAGGCTTCGGTGGTTCAGGCTTTGGAGCTGGTTTTGGAGCAGGATTCGGTGGCGGCTCTGGTTATGGACCTGGTGCTGGCTACGGTAGTGGATACGGAGGTGGTTCTGGCTTTGGTGGACCAGGCTTCGGTGGTGGCTCCGGGTTTGGAGGTGGCATGGGAGGTGGTTACGGTTTCTGAGTATCATCTCTGAGTCTATCTTTAAACAGTGACTAGTGTTGCGATAATATTATTGTATTGATACTTGTAACTAAAAATCAAACTCAAAATTTAATATTAAACTTAAATGGTTAAAGTAACTTGAATAGGTATGCTTTATTAAATTAATGTTATCACTAATAGATAAAAATATAATGAATATTTATCGGTTATACAGAACATTGCTAATATATTTACTCACAACAAATCATTGATGGAATAAGTCGTAATTGCATTAACAAAAATCACTAGTTGGACGCATCGATAGTAAAAAATGAAATAATTTACAAAGTAAATTAATGTGTTGATAATCAATTTCATTACAAATTCAAACAAGATTCATAATGTTATTTACCAAATTTGACTTCATTTGGACATCGTGGATGCGATTCGCCAGCAAAGGTGTCAGTTTAGGAAAATGTGTTCCATCAAAATTTCTACCTTAATTGAATTTTCCTAAGAAAGGTAGATTCGTTAAAAATTGTTTTGCACACAGGGCCAAGTAGATTAATGAACAGTTTGTGAATAATTTGATTGAAATTTTTGCATTAGCAATGCAAATATTAAGTCAAAGTCACTAAACTTCATTAATAGTTGAATGCTTCGTATTTTGCCACCAAGTGCGTCAACAGCATTTGCTTCGGTTGCTTCTTGAACTCCTGTTAGCGGCTCCTCGGAGTCGTCGATTGTCATTGTTCAAAATTCTATATCCATTTGAATCGCTGATAGAGCTAAACGAGCCATTTGTCGATCGGTTAACAATGCTGGAAAGGTGTAATGAACCAGCTTTGATTCCATCCCATTCTGGATTCAAAGTAAACTCTCCTCTCCTCAATTTTGCATAAATTTGTTCTGAAATCATTTTAAAAGCTTGATCGACATTTTGCCGAGTTTTAGCCGATGTTTCAATGTACTTGATACTATGGAAATCAGCAAAGGCTTGTCCTTCTTCTGTTGAAATTTCCCTCTCATTTTCCAGATCAATCTTGCAGCCGACAATTTGATAAACTGCTTTGCTTGGTTCGATATGACGACGTACATCAAAAAGCCAATCAATTAAATGGTCAAAAGAGGATCTCCGGGTTACATCGAAAAGCAGTAAGGCTCCGACTGAGTTACGATAGTAAGATTTGGTAATGGACCTTTAAAAAGAAATGAAAAATGAAAATGAAAAAGTGAGTAATGGTAAACTGGCAAAAGAGCAAATCATTTTTCGTGTTTAAATTAGCACCAGAAAGATATAATGGGTTGGCCTCGACACAAAAGTATACAAAGCTAATGTGATATAGATAGGAGCTTCTTATCACAAGCTTCTATTATTAACATCTGTCTACTTCAGTGAACAAGCATCGTCATATCATATCGTCAAAAAACCTTGTTGAAATGCTATCTGGACCTTTTATTATGGTGAATAAATCCACTGGTGGAATCAATCTGACATCTTTAGATTATTTATAATAGATGATTGATAAATATATGAATAAAAACACCTAAAAACGTTGATCAGATTTAATTTTCGGTTCATCCAAACTCATTTGATATATGAGAATGGTAATCAAGTTAACTGAAGGAGAGGCAATTCTGGTGAAATGAAAACAATGTGAAAACAGTGTAACCTCAATAATATAGGTGGCATGATTAAACTATCGTAAAAGAATAGATTTTGATTAAATAACCTGAATTTTTCTTGTCCTGCTGTGTCCCAAGCTTGTAGTCTAACTCTTAGGCCATTGGTAAGGTCAACAATAGTGGCAAAATAGTCAACACCAACAGTAGGTTCTCCTTCATCAGTAAAATTAGATTTTGTGAATACTTTGAGCAAAGTTGATTTACCGACACTTGAATCACCAATTAAGATTATTCGGAAACTGTAATGCCATGGTACAATGGGTTCATTATTCATTGTCCTAATTGAAGTTGGATAATAACTACACAAAGAGATAGTAATGAACACGGGATAAAAATAGGTTTACTTTGTTTTGTGTTACATCCAGTTCAGATAACAACCAGCAAATATTCAAAATTGATGAAGACTCAGACATTCAGTGGTACAAATCATGATGGTAAAGGCTAAAAACAATAAATTTTCAGAAGAAAGAAGAGTAATAGAGAAAGTTAAAAGCGTTATAAGGTTTGTTGTTCGATATAAAATAAGATTGTGCACTGCAATAAATAAATATTATAAATTATAACAAAGAGTAATGCAAGGTTGCCAATAACGTAATAGCACCATTTACACAAAAAACACTAAATAAAAAAATAATTTAACTATTTCATGTTAAAAATTAACAAAAAGGATGACTTCATTAAGAGAGAAACCATGGAATAAGGAAAATTACATGATTGGGTCAACTGAATGGAAACATTCAATAAAAAGAAATGTAATAATGTTAAAAACAGATAAACATAATGTTCAATTTAATCACATTGATATCAATGAAAACTGTAATTAAGACATTAGATGTTAAGATGAATACTTCATTTATTTGTTTGTCATAAACAGGTGATTGTAACGCTAAAGACGATTACAGTTCTAATTTAATTCAAGAATGATTAGTAAACCGCGGGTTTTGAATTTGCCAACATTTTCATTGCTTAAAGGTTGTTTTAGATGTTGATTTTACTACCATTCCACATTCAATTACGATAGTTTTGATTAAATTTATTTAGATTTTTCTAGGGTAGATTATATTCAATTAGTTGAATTGAATCAGCTTCGATTAGATTATTAATTCAGATGAAATAGCTCTGAGTGACTCACAGTCAGTAAACTCAGCCAGCTGTTTTTTCATTCAAGCTAGCTGAAAATGTGAGTGAGCTGATGCATTACCAGAGAAACATTGTTGACATCCAATTTTGAAAATCGTTTCATTGTTTATTAATAATGGCTGAATCTAACCAAAGTGAAATTCAAGCAATTGGTGTGATATCCTGCTCTAATTTGTTGCCTTCCAAAATCATTGAAAGTAAGTAAATAAGTCTCATCAATTAACCTGACAACATTTGTTAATTCTTTATCTTTACATTTCTGTATCATTCACTTCTCATCTTTTTACTTCAGAAATTGTTGGAACCTCCTATGAACCGTGTAATCATGTTGAAAAAAATTTTGGTAACCATTCCTTTACATGCTACCCCTGGCACATATCAACAAAATACTATGAGGCTGATGTCCATTTCATTGAGATTTTAGATCGTGATCTTATCAGTGCACAATTCGCCGATTCCATCCAAGCCATCATCATCTATCTCGACAACAATGATCAATTATACTGTCAGAAATTTCATGCATGGAAACCCTTCATCGATGAATATGATCCTGATATAAGATTGCTAGTGGTTGAAAAGGCTATCAACGATTCATTTTTTGACAGAACAACTTGCATGAAATGGTGTATCAATAATGAATTTGAACTAATTGAATTGGATGCTGAAATCGATAGCGAGGATGAATACGAGAATGATTTTGTTGATTCAGATGGAATCAAAAGGATAATGCAAGCTTTGAGTGCTCACACTTGGCCTATGATGGAAATGAATGAAACACCACAATATAAACCTTCACCTAAATTTGAAAATTTGTTGAAAAAGGAATTTCAGAATAGCTTAGCTGCAACTGTCTCTCTAAGCAATCCTGATAATGAACAAGAATTAAGCTCAGACAATGACACTTCAACTAGGCAACGTGTTGATTCCATAATAGAAGAAAATAAAGAAATATTCGAGAGCCTAAGTGAAAACCAAGATCTCGAATTTGAAGATCTTTTTAGCAAATTTAAAGATCTTAAAAAGAAAGCTGAAACTTTATCCGGTGAAGAACGTCGACTTTATGCCGAGAAAATCACTATAGCATTTTGGCGGTCCCTTGGTGGTTCAGCTGATGAAATAGCTGGTCTTGATGATTGATCCCGGTAATTGATTTTTTGTTATCCATGGAAGATGAATTTGTGAATAAAAATGGAGTAATTTATTGAAAAAATCAGATGAAGAGGTAAAAATGATTTAATAATAATGTTGATTTACTGAGATGCTGCTCGACTTGTATCTTGTGTTGGGGTGTCAGGGCTTGAACGAGCTTTGTAGTCATATGGCTCATATCCATAGCCATAATATTGTTTATAATTGTCAACCACACCATGAGTACCATAACCAAGGGCTCCAAAACCACCATAAACACCATATCCTCCAGGATAACCTGAAAAACAATCATTTAATTGTGATTAAAAATAAACTTCCAGAGCAGACGAAAGTAACTGTTTATACTACATCTTTAAAAATACAAAAACATAAGATATTCAATCATTTATCTGTAAACTCACCAGCATAAGCTGGAACACCACCATATGGTCCTGAATTTCCGTACAAGTAATTGGATGCCAGGGAACCATAAAGAGTTCCATATTGAGGACCAAGACCATAACCAAAAAGTGGACTAGTGTAAGGGTTGTATTGCAGGCCAAGATATGGATAACCGAGTGGACTTTGAGCTATAATGTTAACTGGTAGAGCAATTGTTAACACCTATGACAAATAATTAGATTTACTGTTTTTCACTTCAAAATATTCATAATTTGTATTGCTAATAATTAAGTTTAACTTACCGAGCATATTAAAAATAGTTGATATCGAATCATTGTTGATCTATTTGATGCACAAATCTATATAATTTATAATTAATTGTATTTACTCTTTTAAATTGTATTTACCAAAATATAAAAACAAATAAAGCAAGTTTGTTATCCAATAACTGAAATCAAATTTGATCAAATGTAATTTCTTCCGGAGTAGCTAGTTTGATCAAACGCACTGTCATTGTGAATAACCTAGAGATTTTTGTTGAACGATCATCATGAACAACTTAACAACATTAAAATTTGCTTATATCATCATTCTTATCATCATCATTATTAAACATTTCCAACCAAGTTTCGTCTCCCACATAATCAACAAAACAATATAGTTTTCCCTATTCAATTATTAATTCTGTTAACCTAAAATTCAGGTTAAACCAAGAAATTTGGTTATAAGGTCACTGTGAGGTTAATTATCGAAAATTTTCCCACAATAATTATAAAAATACAGTTAATTCAACACAAGAAACCTTTGAGTTATCATGATAAGGTATGACGGGTAAAGTTTTGTACCAAATTTTTTATAAATCAAAGAAGACGAACGAAATCATTTTAACGTAATAACTTAGCAATTTTTTATCAAAATTAACTTATTTTCACTTAATAAAGTTTTCTTTCATTTTAACAGTTAATTGATTATACATTTTGTATTTATGAATGTGTATTTTTTATTGATTTTTTATTGAAAAACGAGCAGATTTTGAAAAGAGCGCACAAAAACAACCTGCTTGTAACTAGCATAATCTGAATATCAGATATCTTTTTGGTTTCACTTCAAGATTTTTGATTTGTAATTGTTTGTTTATTATTTTTTTTCATATTTGATTATTACTCTGAAAATTCCAATGGGTTCAGACAAAAGAAAACATGATTTAGAACCAGAAAATCAATCTGCTTGTGACTCTACTGGCTCGACTAGTGACAGCGAAGAAGATTCAATCAACTCAGAGGATGAAATTGAGGCTAATAAAGTAAGTTCGTTATTGTGTGTGATACTTTCTTCACTGAATCTAATGTGTTTTCATTTCTCGATTTGTCTTCTAGGAAATTAATGTCGATTTTGAAGCTTGTCCTATTTTGGAACAAGATCTAAACGGTATCAAAAGAATGTTGACGCAATTGTTTCTTAAGGACAACATCAATTTGAATAAGTTAAGCGAGACTTTGTTAAATCAGAAAGAGATTGGAGCCATAATTAGACAGATCAATCAAGAGGAAGATGATGATAGTGATGAGGAGGATACTGATGAAGACGATGTTCTCGGTTTAATTAGCTTTATTAACCTCTCCGACGGAAATCATTCAAATGCAGAATGGTATGGCCAACTTATGGAGTATTTCACCAAATATTTGACTGGAGAGAAAAAGTCCGAAATTGAAAAAATAATCAAAGGAGATGCAAAGAAAGCTTGGATCATCAACGAAAGATTCGTTAATTTGGGTTGGCAATTAGCTGTTCCTTCATTTGAACAAATTTTTAAGGAACTCAAAGCCAGCAAAGTTGATTTTGAATACTACATGTTGATCTGTAAAATACTTTATCCTAAAAGACGGTATAAAGAAAAAAAGAAATCAAAGCAAGATAAAGAAGATGTAATATTTCTCAATCCAGAGGAAGAATTGCTTGATGAATGTGCAGATTATCGTTATGAGTTTGATGTTTCCAATCAATGCGATTCAGACACAATCGGTGGTGATTGGGATGAGGGAGATCAAGAATATCTTCCTTGTCGTCGTGTATTAATTTTTTGTAATCAATCATGGGTTAAAGCTAATGAAAACCTGAAAAAACATGCTGCTAATCCCACCTGTAGCACTAATAGTGCCAAATGAAGAGTACAAACTTGTTGAATAAAATTATGAATTTCCGTAAACTCATTTGCTTGCTTGCTTTTGTTTAAAATAAAAGTTCATTTAAAAAGATTTGAAAAAACCGCCATAGAGTACTATGTACTCAAAGAGTAAAGGAAGAAGAGAGAGCAATTCAATACATAATCTAACCGAAAATTTTTTATTGGTGTCAGAAGATGGCGCGAGAAAGAGACTCTTTCTTTTTACTTTCTTTACAGATTTTTTACTCTCTTTTTCTCTTTCATTTCTCTTTCTTTTCATCATTGAAATTTAAATTAAAGCAATTAATATCAACATTAGAAAAGGCTTTTTTGATTATTTTTCAATGTTTTTAATGTTATTTTTATTCATTTTTATGATTTTGATGCTATGATTTCTTATTTAAAGATAAATGCATGATAATTTAACAGAGAAACGTCACTTTGACCAACAAAATCTGAATTAATCAAAGCAAAAGTCTATCAAAAAGTATTTATCATCATTATATTAAGGTTTTGGGACTATTTTGTTTACGAAAAACTTTTCCTGTCAATAAATTCTGGATTTATTCTTTTTAGTGCTTAGATTCATAATATAAAGTAAATTTGTTAACTGATAGATCTGTCCAACATTATAGCAACGACAAGTTATTCACCATTTACTTATGTGAAGGTGGATTCCCGTAAAATCTATGAATTCAGAATTTATTAACAGAATAACCAAAATAGTCCCAAAACCTTAATATAATGATGATAAATACTTTTTGATAGACTTTTGCTTTGATTAATTTAGATTTTGTTAGTCAAAGTGACGTTTCTGTGTTAAATTATCATGCATTTATCTTTAAATAAGAAATCATAGCATCAAAATCATAAAAATGAATAAAAATAACATTAAAAACATTGAAAAATAATCAAAAAAGCCTTTTCTAATGTTGATATTAATTGCTTTAATTTAAATTTCAATGATGAAAAGAAAGAGAAATGAAAGAGAAAAAGAGAGTAAAAAATCTGTAAAGAAAGTAAAAAGAAAGAGTCTCTTTCTCGCGCCATCTTCTGACACCAAAAAAAAATTTTGGTTGAGATGTTGCATTGAATTGCACACTCTTCTTCCTTTACTCTTTGTATGTACTCAATCATAAAATGCATCCATAAAAGATTCTGATCCCTAAGGTATCTTTTAACCACCGTTTAATCATATGTTACTGTTTTCAAAATTATTTCTCAAGTTTTTCTTATAATTCTGTGATTATCATGGCTCCAAGCAAAAGGGATGAAGATGATCTCGATTCTGAAAGTCAATCAAATGATTCTTCAAGATCTTCCAGTGAAAGTGAAGCAGAATCGGCCAATTCGGATGACAGAGGAGACAATCGTGAAGAAATTGATGAAGACAAGGAAGATAGCGATGATGACGAAGAAATGGAAGAATCAAAAGTTGAAGTAAAAGGAGAAAGTGATTCTGACGAGGAAAGAGAAGCTGATGAGGAAAAAGAAGCCGATGAAGACAAAGAAGCTGATGAGGATAAAGAAGCTGATGAAGTCATGGCTGATCTGGAAGAGGATGATGATAGAGAAGAAGAAAGTGAAAATGACGAAGACAAGGATGATGATAAAGACGATGACAAGGATGATGACAAAGAAGAAAAAGATGAAGAGATGGAAGAAGAGAAAGCTGCCGAAAAAGATGACGAAAGTGACTCTGACGACGACAGGGAAGTCACTCACGCTGTTGATGCAGATGATGTGCTTGCAGATCTTAATCTTGATGATGATGATGAAGATGAAGGCAGAGAAGCTACTGGTGGAGACGAAAGGGAAGAAGAGCCGCCAGAAGAGATACCCATCACACGTATTGAAGTAGAAATTCCAAAGATTCCAACTGAACTCGGAAATGATATTCATTTTGTTAAATTACCCAATTTTTTAAGTGTTGATACTCATCCATATGATCCATCTTGGTATGAAGATGAAATCGATGAAGACGAAATTCTCGATGAAGAAGGAAGACATCGATTAAAATTGAAAGTTGAATCAACAATAAGATGGAGAACTGTAGTTGACGAGAATGGAGTGTCTCTCAAAGAAAGTAATGCCAGAATAGTTAAATGGTCAGATGGTAGCATGTCTCTACACCTTGGATCTGAAATCTTTGATATTCATAAACAAAGCTTAATGGCTGGTGATAATAATCATCTTTTCATTCGTCAAGGGACTGGTCTACAAGGGCAAGCCGTTTTCAAAACTAAACTTACTTTCCGACCTCATTCAACTGATAGTTTTACACATCGTAAGATGACCCTTTCATTGGCCGAAAGAAGTCATAAAACTCAAAAGATTCGTGTTTTACCTAACGTTGGTAAAGATCCTGAAGCCCACAGGTCAGAAATGATCAAGAAGGAAGAGGACAAGTTAAAGGCATCTATTAGACGAGAAAACAAAATGAGAAGAGTCCGGGAAAAGGCTCCTTTCCGTGGTCCAACAGCATCTTATTTAGAGCCTGATGCATACGATGATGATGATGATGATGATGGCGGTGTATCTTTATCAGCAATTAAAAAACGTTACAAGAAAGGAGGTGCTGGTTATAATATCTATACAGATAGTGACGATGATAGTGACCTGGATAAGAAAAAATCATCTAGTGAACGAAAACGAACTGCGAAGGTTGTCGAAAGTGATGATGAAGATGACGATAAATAGCCCGTCTGGTGACCCTTTAAAAAATAAACCTAAGTGTTTACTATTCAACTGAATATTAGTGTGTAATTAAATTTTTTATGTAATAAGTTGAAAACAAAAACATTAAATTCAATTTTTATTATGATCACATATTTTCCTCATTTTAATTTGTTGAATCGAGGTACTATTTTTAGTTATCTCAATAATTTACATCATTGGTCACGAAAAGAAATATTAATTTAACCAAAAAAAGTCACAAATGAGACTTTTTTCATAGAGAACCGCCAAATATACTTGACGCCCTAATATTTCGAAGTAATGGTAATGAGAGTCACCTAGGTTACATTCATACGACAATCCTATTAGGAACATAACTCGAAATTACGGCTAAGATTCTTGAAAACTGGTTTTGAGAAACTTACTTTTTTACTTACAACTGGTTAAAAACTGGTGTTGAAAACCACGGCCTTAGTTTGACCCTTTTTACATGCGAAAGGTGAACCACTTTTGCCCAAAATCTTTAGTACTTGAATAAAAATTTTATCATCCATCTTCTAGATTAGCTTATTTATAATTTATACTAATTTGTAAAATTAATTTTTTGGTGAATAATGCATGAAACTAATCATGACTCTGATAAAAGTAAGTTTCGTTTTTTCATCAAATCAGTTTTAACATTTTTTCTTTGTAATGTTTAGTTACAATAAAAATAAGGCATTCGGATGAGGATTATCATGACATTACGATTGATTGGTCAAATGAAAGTTTCGATTACAGGAAACAATTGTTTCATCAGGTAAGTCAAAAGAAAAACAAGAAAGTGATTAATTTCTAGTTTATATTTTACTTACACCAATAGTTAGCAGCATACACAGGAATACCAGTTGAACATCAAGAGTGTGTTGATGTACAGCACGCATCAAATCGCAGTGGTGATCTGCTAAATACCGAATTCAAGGATGGGTAAATGATTTTATCTAACTTTTTGATTGCCTTTCTTTAGATTTAATCCTTTTTCATAAATTTTTCAGAATTTTTAATGAGGTCTGGGATTGGGAATACGACTCAAAGGAACTCGCAATGAATGCTTTCCATGATGGCGACTGTTTTCTATTTAGAACGAGAATTTTTACAGCTGAGTTTGGATTGTTTTGTAGATATACATTGCAGCATCAGAGTCTGGTTAATGGAACTGGATGCGAACGATATTATTGCCATTACCTGGCTCGTCGATCTTTCACAAAAAGAGTATCAGAGTTGCTGAAATCAGATGAATTGCGAAAAATTTGTGATGAAAATGGCTTACGAGTTCGCGAACAACCAGATGAATTTAGAAGAATGAACCTCAATTTGAATATTGCACATCTTACAGAGCCAGTGTGCACTGCGAAGATCTCAGCTTGGCCTGATATATATCGGTTTGATGCTAACCATATGTACTTACGTTACCGTGGCTAACTTGAATCTCTGTCAATTGTCGATAAAAAAGTTTTACTTTCAATTTAATCTGCTCCTCGAGTAAACTGAATCGGAAGAGAACAAACCGGAACAGCCCAAAGGTCACAAAGCAAACTTTTTTCATAGGGAACCGCTAAATATACTTGCAGCCCTAATATTTCAAAGTAAAGGTATTGAGAGTCACCTAGGTTACATTCATATGACAACCCTATTAGGACCATAACTCGAAATCACGGGTAAGCTTCTTGAAAACTGGTTTTGAGAAACATTCATAGACAAACAGATCTTAGTTTAACCTTTGCACGCTCAGGTGATCTACTTTTGACTACAACAGTTTGTTCTTAAATGAAAATTTTATCATTCATCTTATAATAAACTTTTATATAATTTGTACATGAAATATTAATTTTTGTTTTGAAATGAATGCAGATAATAGAAATCCTGATAAAAGTAAGTTACATTTTTTATCGACTCAGTTTCAAAATATTATGTTCTTTGTTATGTTTAGTTACAATAAAAGTGAGACATTCAGATGAGGATTATCATGAGATTACGATTGATTGGTCAAATGAAAGTTTCGATTACAGGAAACAATTGTTCCATCAGGTAAGTCAATAGGAAACATAATGAAACAAGTAATTTTTAGCTTACCTTTTACTGATACCAATAGTTATCAGCATACACAGGAATACCAGTTGAACATCAAGAGTATGTTGGAGTGGAGCACGGATCAAATCGCAGTGGTGGTCTGACAAATACCGAATTCAAGGATGGGTAAACGATTTTATCCGACTTCGTCCTTCTTTAGATTTAATCTTTTTTTATAAATGTTTCAGACGTTACAATGCGGGCTATGATTGGCAATATTGGCAATACGAGAGCAAGGAACGCACAAGGAATACTTTCCAAGATGGCGATTGTTTTCTATTCAGAACGAGAATTTTTGCAGATGGTTCTGGATTGATTTGTAGATATGAATTGAGTCATCAGAGTTTGGTTAATGCAGCTGAATGTAACAGACATTATTGTCATTACCTGGGTCGTCGATATTTTACGAAAAAATTTGCAGTGTATATAAAATCAAATGAATTGCAAACAATCTCAAGTCAGCGAGTACAAAGCCTGGAGGAATTGCATAGAGTGCAACTCAGTTTGAATATTGTACATATTATGGAGCCAGTGTGCACTGGGCGGATCTTAGCGTGGCCTGATCATTTTCCGTTTCATGTTAACCAAATGTACTTACGTTACCGTGGCTAACTTGAGTCTCTGTCGATTGTTGATAAAAAAGTTTTTCTTTCAATTTATTCAAATGTTTTCATCTAATAAAAACATTCAACTAAAATTTTATTAGTGGATGCTTCCTCATTTCTATTGATTTGTAAAAGTCTCCCAAAAAAGTAATGTTTTTTTATTTTAATCTTTGATTATCAAACTTGGATTTCAATTAATAATTAGATATTTGTTCAAACCACACTAGTGAGAACCATTAACAAAGAAAATGTTCAACCTTTGTCAACTATTTGCAAGCTTAAAAAGGTTGATGCTAGTGATCTAAATGTCATCCAAGCTGCTGCTCGAGAGAACTGAATCGGAAGAGAACAGACCGGAACTCTTCTCAAGAGATTCGGTATCGCAAATGGTTGCATTACGAGAAAAAAAAGCAAAGCGAACCAAGAGAAATTTTTGATCTTAAGAGAAAAATCGAGCACATATTTTTTACATTGATTAGATAGATTTTTCCTCATTTTGGCAATACAAATGAATAATGTATTAACCAAAAAAGGTCACAATTTAAACTTCATTTCATATCGAATCACAAAATATACTTGACACCATAATAATTCAAAGTTAAGGTAGGGAGAGTCACCTTAGTTCATTCATAGAAGCATAACTACAAAGTACAGATTCTTGAAAACTGGTTTTGGTAGACATTCATGGACACAAAGATCACAGTTTAACCTTTTCTGCACACAACAAGTGATCTACCTTTGGTTCACCATTTTTTGTGCTTAGATGACTTTTTCAATGCTCCTTTATGGAATCAACTTATTTATAATTTATACAAAAGCTTAAACTTTTTGTCTTAAAATGAATGAAGATAATAGTAATACTTCTGATAAAAGTAAGTTTCACTTGTTTTTCAATTCAGTTTTAAAATAAATGTTTCTCTATGTTTAGTTACAATAAAAGTGAGACACTCGGATGAGGATTATCATGAGATTACTATTGATTGGTCAAATGAAAGTTTCGATTACAGGAAACAATTGTTTCATCAGGTAAGTCAAAAGAAAAGACAATGAAATGAATAATTTCTAATTTATATCTCTATCAATAGTTATCAGCATACACAGGCATTCCAGTTGAGCATCAAATGTATATTGAAGTGAATAATGAGTTTAACCGCAGTGGTGGTCTGCAAAATACCGAATGGAAGGATACGTAAATGATTATATCCAAATTTTTTATTGCCTTTCTTTAGATTTAATCCGTTTTCATCAATATTTCAGAAGTTACATTGCAGTATATGGTTGGCAATACGATACTAAAGAACATGCAATGAATACATTTCATGATGGCGATTGTTTTCTACTCAAAACCAGAATTTTGGTAGAGGATGGTGATAATGGAATTAGCTGTGATTATGTCTTGTCGCATGCGAGTTTGGTTAATGCAGCTGAATGTAACAGGCATTATTGTCATTACTTGGGTAGTCGATATTTTACGAAGAAATTTGCAGAGTTGATGAAATCAAATGAATTGCAAACAATCCTAAGTCAAGGAGGAGGCCCAAGTCTGGAGGAATTGCATAGAATGCAACTCAATTTGAATATTGCAAATCTAATGAATTTAAAATGCACTGCAGTGATCTCAGCATACCCTGTTTTGCGACGGTTTAATTTTGACCGACTATATTTACGTTATCGTGGCTAACTTAAATCTCTGTGAATTGTCGACAAATGTTTTATTTAATCAAACATTTACTAAAATTTTATTAGATTAGAGCAGATGCTCCCTTATTTATATTGATTTTGAAAAATCGGTGAGAGTAAGGTTTTACGGACTAAGGCGGAACTTAAGAATCACACACTTTCGCTAACCAATGGTAAAATTGACAATTAGTACACAAACAGGTGAACATTTGAGATTAATTGTTTTTCATTTGAAATTAATGATTAATCAGAATTTTCTCTTCTCCTCTTTCAGTATCCATGGATTTGAGACAAGATTAGTAACTAACAATTAGTTCAATTACCATTATAACCAAAGAGTAAAGAAGACCACCTCCTCTACTCTTTGATTATAATTATTAGACTTAATTTTAAAAGATTAACCTGATTGGATCTTAATTCAAATGTCCCATGTTGCCCCTCGTTAGTCCGTAAAACCTTACTCTCACCTATTTTTTACATTGATTAGATAATTTTTCTTCATTTTGGCGATACAAATGAATAATGTATTAACCAAAAAAGGGCACAATTTAAGCTTCATTTCATATCGAATCACAAAATATACTTGACACCCTAATAACTCAAAGTTAAGGTAGTGAGAGTCACCTTAGGTTACATTCATCGTCGTCTAACTCGAGATCATTGCAAAGTTTCTTTGAAACTGGTTTTGAGAAACATTCAAAGACAGAACAGATCTTAGGTCAACCTTTTCTATCAACGTTATCGTGGTTGATTCAACCTCAGCCTTATATCATTTTCTATCAAATAAATTGAATTATATGAACTTTTGAACAGAAAACATGACTTGTTAAAAACTTTTTGTCTTGAAAGATGTAAGTTAAAAAAAAATTTGAATACTATTTCTATCAATAGATGCTTTCTCATTTCTATTAATCAGAACTGATTTGAAAAATCCCTCTAGAATACATTGGTTTCAAACAAATTGTTTCCTTAAAATTTTAATCTTTATCCATAAATTTGAATTTGAATTAATTGTTAAATATGTGTTCTAATAATATCAGTGTATATATCAATAAAGAAAATGTTCAACCTATGTCAACTATTTGTTTATACTAGTGTCCTAAATGTCATCCAAGCTGCTCCTCGAAAGCTAAAACCTGTTGTTAACCGCCATTATGATTTTAAAATTTACAAACTTTAGCCAACATTCCAAATTCTTGAGGACAGCAAAATAGTTCAGAGTTAAGGTCGTGAGAGTCACCTTAGCTACATTCATAGAACCATAACTACAAAGTACAGCAAAGATTCTTGACAAACTGGTTTTGAGAAACATTCATTGACACAAAGATCACAGTTTCCCTACACACAACAAGTGATCCATTTTTTGAGCTTTGATGAGGATCTCAATATTCATCTATTGAATCAACTTATTTATAATTTATACCAAACTTGTAAACGTTTTGTCTTAAAATGAATGAAAATAACAGTAATACTCCTGATAAAAGTAAGTTTCTTTTGTTTTCATCTCAGATTTAAAATAAATGACTCTTTGTGTTTAGTTACGATAAAAGTGAGACATTCGGATGAGGATTATCATGACATTACAATTGATTGGTCAAATGAAAGTTTTGATTACAGGAATCAATTGTTTCATCAGGTAAGTCAAAAGAAAAGACAAAGAAATGAGTAATCTCTAATTAATATCTCTATCAATAGTTAGCAGCATACACAGGAATACCAGTTGAATATCAACTTCTTATCGACGTGCAAAATCCATATCTACCGACTACCGGTTTCGGTCACCTAAACCCCGGAATCATTAAGCAGTAAATTATTTATTTATAATTTTTATTTAACTTCATCATTTAGCTTTTCAGAATTTTAATTCTCTCTATTAATTCTTTTTGAAAAGACGGGTTCGGGAGTATGATGTAAACAAAGAGTATGCAATGGAAAGTCTTTACGATGGCGATTGTTATTTTCTCACAACGGAGCTCATGTCATTCCATGACGATCCTAGTATTTTCTGTTGCTTTTATCTGTTGCATAGTGATCTGGTTAATGAAAATGGTTGTAACCCAGATTACTGTCACCATTTGGGTAGTCGTTTATTTTCGAACAAATTGTCACAGTTCATCAAATCCGAACACTTGCAGAAACTTCTGTATACAAGAGTTGATCGAGTAACATCGGAAGCGGCAAGAAAAGTGAAATTAGATTTGAATATTGAACACCTTACTCGCCTAAAATGCAGAGCGAGGCTCGAACCTTCTCCATTTCCTTTTCCGTTCCCTAATTACTATTTGCGTTACCGAGGTTAATGAAGATATTCACCTGGTAAAACTTAGAAAGCAAAAACTGCATGTTCAACAATTTAATGGTTGATTAGTTGATCGATTGACTAAAACCTACTTTCTTTTGTTGATATTTCATCAAAATAACTATTGTGCCACATTACTAATATATTGAAGAAAAAATCAGCAATTAAATTATCGTCTTCCTGATAATCAAGGTGATCAAAAAGAGAATCAACTGCATGTCAACAATTTTCATGATCATGATTACTAAAGGTTTTATTTCTTGAACTACTCAATAAAAAATTCAATGCAAAAGTTTTCCAATTTAGTTACGTTATTAGTTGATCAATTTGTGAATCTGTTTTTTTTATCAATTCTGTTATAAGTTCAATTAATAATAATTATTATGATGCTTGGGATCCGGAAATTTAGATTGAAATAAAGGCAACAGAAAAGGTTTTAAAGAAACAGTATTAAAATGTAAATAATGGCATTTTGAATGGAAAAGTAAAATTCAGAAGCCAATAAGAAATTCATAATGACAATAATAAAAACTAATAGTTGCAATAATACCAACTAATGGTTGAGATAATGATTGTTGATTGAATGAGAATGAGTTAAATAGTAGTTGATAATTTATTGGACTCATCATTGACAGAAGCTACTCAAATCTCATTACCAACATTGTTACAATCAACATTCAAAAGCTCTCCTTATTGACCTGCTAAACAGTTTAGACCCATTTAAACACTCATCGGAAGTAGTTAACTTTATTGTTCGCATTTCACTTTGATTGTTGATTGTTTACTTATTAAACTGACGTCCATTAGAAATGGATAAAGGGATGGATCAACAAGTTGAACATAAAAAAAGTAGAAGCAGCAACATGCCAAAAAAATAATACAAATCACAATAATATCTAATTGTGTAAGGAGATCATCTCATTGGAAATGTAATTTGTGTTCATTTCAATTTGTGAGTTTTTTTTCCTCAACTCAGTATTCATGGCAACATCCAGTTCAACCAAGATTTATCACAATCAATTGTAAACACCAATTTTTCAATCACGTTTATCATGTTAACTTGGGTTGACAACAGACAAAACAATCAAACAGCTAGCCTTAATCAATCCATTCTTCCGGATGATTATCTGTTCAGCTCAATAGCCAACCGAATTAACCCAAAGACTGAATCAAAAAGTAACATCAGTAAACAACTTTGCGGTTAATGTTAGACAATCGAGTTAAGAGCGTTTCTGTTTCTTGTTAATCAATTCAAATGCTAATCATTAAGACTTAATCTTGCAATAATGTTACATTCCATTTTTTAATAACAATATACAGCTTGATAGGTCTTAAATGTACATAAATTATGCGAAACCATTTGAGAGGTAAAATGAAGGAAATGAACAATTAATTTTCAAGAAGATTAACATTTAAACGGCTCTTTATGTTTGAATTTCAATTTGTTCAGATAATTAGAGATGAAGATATTTGTTTAAAGATGTTGATGTATTTCACTTCTTCCTTTCGATTCCAATTATCAATAAGTCTTCAATTCAGTCGACATGAAGTTCAGTTTTTTTTCAATATTTCTCTTTTTTCCAATTTTGCTGGTTTCACTTTCACTACAATTTAATTGAAAATGCAATACAATCAAATGGTTTGTTACACACACTAATTAAAGTATGAAGATGATGTTTGATGAAAAATGATCAAGTTAAATGACAACCTTGTACTTTGGATAAATGAAGGACAATTTGTTAATCTATTGACCCGGAAACCAATTAATTTGTTACCTTTAACTTTTGATCAACTTGAGTCGGGCTGACCTTAACTTTTTTATCAATAAACATCCCCGGGGTTTCACTGAATATTATACCAATCAATGATTTCTATCATCATTATCATTACCGTAATCGTTTTGTTTGCTTTTTTACTTAACTTTCTTTCAATACCTTTTTTACATGACTTTAAAGTCTACCTTACCTTGAAGGCTGAAGAAGTGTATATTGATAACCTTTGATAGATTGGATAAAAAGCTGAGCTCTTTTTGTTCATCATCTAAACTAATGTCAAGCTTAAAAAATAATTTTAATTAATAGTTGATCCATTTGGTGTTTGTTAAGGGACCGTTTACGGTATCAGGTCATGGCCTCATTGAACTTTTACTGGACTAGATTTTGGAGGAATCCGAATGAAAGTGAAATCACAGTCAAAGTCAATGTCAATATGTATTTCAACGGTCAGTCTTTTTCAACTCGAGTAATTCAAAGCAGTTGAGGAAATTAAACTGTCGCCGTGTTAATGATTGAAGATGATGATGAGCGACGATAAACAGTTAACTGTAGTACATTCAGTTATGGATAAAGTCTGGTTTGGATTCTTCGTTCTTATCTTTCAACGTTCTGAGTTTAGAGGATTGCACTTTTTTGAAATAAAACTAATTTGCCTTACCTCTTCTAATCTGCAGCAAAAGAGAGTTTAAATTATAATAAATTGAAGCCTTTTAAGGTGATGACACAACAGAGATTATTTAAATTATGGTTAACATTGTATACAAATGTAATAATTGACATAAATTATCGAGGAAGAAATGGCCATTTTCAAGATAATTTTTGAGTTTTCATAAAAGCATCTTCACTTGAATCCGTCATGAATCTGACTTTGGTTCAGAACTTTTCATTTACCATAAACAGTCAACACCATTGGCTTGTATGGACACTTGGCTTTAGATGATGGACATGGATATTTACTAATACATTCAGCAAAGACTCGGTCACATTCACACAGAGAGAATCCACATTTATCCTTTGATTGTTCATAATCAGTTAGAGCTGAGGATGGAAAGAAGAATCATTGTTTTAATAGAAAATAAATTTAATTGTTAGAGACCAAACAATTAATTAGCTTACCACAATTAGCATAACCCGGAGCAACACAATCCCAACTGTATGGCATTAAATAGAGGAGTAATTGATGACAAGGCGCCATTGCATAGCATTGATCATGTTTAAGACAACATCTAAATGAATGAGAGTAAACATTTTAAGAAACGATTTAAAGAGGAAAGACAATAGTCGACTAACTTGTCAATTGGGTCAACAGGTTTTCCTGATCCAAAGAGACCACAGAAACAACCATAACCTTTGTACTGAAAAGGTTCACAACCAGAGACGCATCTGATCATAGAGGCTAATTGTATTAAACCCCGTTTAACACGTAAAGAGCGATGGACACTACTTATTAAATCGTTGTTATTGTTTTGGTTAGGTGATGAAGTTGCTGATAAAAAATCACTATTTATGCTCTTTTTATCATTATAGCTGATTGTATTGATGACACTTTGATGAGTATTGCTGTTATTAATAGATAAAAAAGTGTTACTATTTTGTAAAGGTGAAACTTTTGCTTCAGATGATTCCATATTAGCAACAGATTTGACTAAACTACTTGGTTTGGAAGTAATAACAACTTCTGTATAACTTGTTGTTTCCAAAAAATAAATCATGTTAACTGAAATGAACATGAAAAGCAAAACAATTGTTAAACCCAATTTCGTTGGTGACATCAAATAACGAACACACGATGACAACCTTTGTAGATGCAAATTTATCATTTTGTTGATAGTCAAGATGTTGATTTAAATATAATGGAAATTTTAGCAAATTAACTTTTCGCTTCGTCATAATAACATTGTTCCAAATCACAAATAAGGATTAAAGGTTATTCCAACCTCGAAGTTGTTCAGAAAAAAACAAAAATAAATCCAAAAATCATCACAGATTGGATGAAAACCGTTAAAAGCAAATATTGGGTGACTTCAGATGGAGATCCTTACTATTCCTTATGGCACTTTTGACACTAGAAAGACTAATAGTCCAGCGAAATCACAGTTAAATTAATAATTGAGAAACATTTCTGTGTAGACAAAGGAAGAAAATAATAAAATAATAAATAATAAGATGTTACACTTTCATTTTTCATTTAACTCGTTGATTCTTGTGATTCATTTTGCCGCGATTAGTAAACAGGTGACAAATGAAAAAGAAAATAAAAAAGTAATATTTTCACATCTATTGGCTTCAAATAATTCAATCTAAATTGAATCTTCAATCTTTTGTAATCAACTTAAATTGGTTATTTACTTTCCGAATCTACATTTGTTACAGTTTGCAGCAAAATGTTTCAACTTTCACTTTCAACTTCACGCACTTCACTGTATCTACTAATCTTTGTTTGGCCTTCCTACTTTGCGAAGTAGCTCTCACTTTCAAATAAACGGCAACAAATTAAAGGGGAGGAGGTAATAATGATATTAGTTTTCGCTTTCAAGATCTTATTGGCATTAAATGTCAGGTCAGGTTCTTAATAGAGAACGCATTTGCTCTCAATTAATCGATTGTAAACAATGTTCACCTAAACGTGAATGAGATCAGCTATTAACTTTTTCTTAGCGACGGTAAAATTATTCACTAATTTTTGTGCTTATTTCTGTAACTAGCCAATTAATATCAACATAGACTTGGTCAACTGTTTTTTAATTAGTTTAATTAGTAATAATCAGTCAATTAGAAAGGTAAGATTGATAATTGACGCTGAAATAAAAGTTGCAAGTATTTGTGAAAAAAGTGGAATCGAGTAATCCTCAAATTGATAGTGACAATTGAAATTGTTATTTGTGGTTCAACTGCTGTGATTAACAAATTGATATGTTTGAAATATACATTCATTTCATAGCAAAAATTAAGAAACGTTAATAAATAAATACATTTGTGTTTTGAATGTTCAACTTAGTGTAACAATAATGTCCAGGTTAGTGTTGATTATGATAATGTTCATTATAATGAGCATAATGATGAGAAGTAGTAAATACTGGTCAGTTTCAACCATTCTACTCTTACCAGGAAGCGATTTTATTAAGTAACATTTAATTCTTTACTAATTAGCTGGGTAAACAATCAACGTTGCGTGAAAACTTCAAATCTCGTTATGCCATTGAATATGTTGATTCTGATCAGATTTCAAGTATTTTATTAAACCTTTTCCATTCCTTTGATGTTGTTCAGCCACTTATGATATCTGATTTCCTCGAATGAATATTCGGACGCACCAATGTAGATTGAATTTAAGTCGCAATAAAACTTTTGATTTGGCTCCAAGCTTTCAAGGGTAAGCAGAGATGGAGCATCGACTTGTTTTTTTCGCATTTTTAACACATCTGCTGCTACATTAGTATCTGCTGGTACCTCAGAATTTTCATCTTCCTCCTCATAGATGACAAATTCACATTGACGCACAACTGTAGGTTTCGACTTTAATTTGATACCAGTCCATTTTGAAGGGTTCAAAAGATTTTCTTTGTCATGTGGGACTACAAATGATTTACTTGAACAGCTAGGAGTAGGCTCAGTACAACTGTTATTATCAACATGTATATCGATCGCTGGACGTGTTTTCGCCGATTCAACAGAGGCTTTTAGACTTTGGAAATCGGTTTTAATAGAAGAAACCCGATCGACAGGTGCTTTAGTTATGCCTTTTTTAACCGTTGGACGTAAACCAACTAATGCTTTTCTTTGTTGAGTTTGATCAGCACTGGCTTCAGAGTCATCCAAGTCCTTAGCAGCAATTTTTTTGACAAGACGTACTTGAAGTTGAATTTGAGCGGTTGTTAAATCTTCAGATGGTTCTGCTTCCAGCATCATCCCTTTATGCAGAACGTTATCAGCTTCTTTAAAATTACCGGCAAGTTCCAGATCCCATGCCCATTCAACGTAAAATTTGGCCAATTTTGAAAAAATCTTTTTACTGAACAACGAATCATAAATTTCCAATGGATTATTACAGCCACGAATGTACTTGAGAACTACAGCTAGGAACCGAGTATCTTCCCAATATTGAGTATTGTCGATAAAACGTTTTACACAATCTTTGATGGTTTCATCAATCCGACCAGCTTTACCGCCATCGGCATAAGATTGCTCAATAAATTCAATCAGTGAGATCCAATTACTGAGAGGGTCATCCGAATCATCAATAAGAATTTTCTCTTCCAGTCCATTGCGTATTATTTGAAGATCACTAGCATCATCGATTTGACTAAGGCTGCGTCCTGTTGATAGTGGTTGAAAATTTTCTTTATCAATATACCAACTTGGGTTATCTTCACTCATTCTGACAAAAAATATACTTTTTTTGGTTACACAGTGAAAAGATGGAAACTGAAAAATAGTGACAAGACACAGGATTTACCAGCTGAACAAACAAAAACAATTAAAAAAAATTTGGCACAAATTGTCCGTTTAAAATGTTCATTCAAACTTATTAACCAATGAAAACTAAGGGAGCATATATTAATAAAACTTTTGAACTTTTAATGCAAAACAACTTTACATTAATAATCATCGATTTAACTAGAATTTAAGTAACCAATTCAGATTTATTAACATATTTTTACAATTTACAGGAAAGTTTTATTGCAAAGACAACATATAAACTGTTGCAAAATGTATCAATCATATTTTTCATTAGCATATAAAAATATCAACAAAATCATTGAGAATTATCAGAATTTTTCAGGTCCATGGGTAGAATGCTGAATGCAGAATTGTACCCAGAACAAAGTATAATGCTGAATATACTTTGAAATAATACTTTTTGCTATTTGGAGCTGATGCAATAGCCCAGTAAACAACTGGAGTTGAACTTAAAACAAATCTGGTTATCACTTGCACATGCATGTAAAAAATGGAAACAAAGGTAAGAAAAGCCAGATGAACGATAAATGGTAGACAGTGGCCATTATTCCAGAGAAAAGGTCCTCTTCGTCGAGATTGGAAATTCAGTATCAATTTGAAAAATTGTTTTCCATTTGCTTGAAAATATTTCATAACGATCCACGAGCAAATTAGCATCATAGGCAATGCAAGAATAAAGTTTGGAATTTGTTTCAGCTGATAATATTTAAGAAATCCTATGCTCCAGTATTTTCGTTGAATGAATGTGTATGGAATGCTAAGGGCAGTTGAACAAAATTGAAGACGATCGGGCAGGTTAGGATCTATGCATAGAATATAATAAGAGTACGATTGAAACATAATAAATGGAATCAGAATCATCAATGCGTGTGTCAAAAATATTCCGAACTGCTCCACCAACCGAGCTGATCTCAGAACTCGAGCGCTGAGGATAGAAATAGTTGTAACATGCCAATAAGCAACAAAACCAAGAGATATAATTCCATTAGCCCGAGTTAAACTGCTGAGGGCTAGAAAAGTTGAGGCCACCGATAATCTTCCGAATTCAATTGCGAGAAGTCCGGAGAGTGTCAGAAATTGAAATAACGATTCGGAATAACAAGCAGTCATGAAGATTGAAGCTGGATTGAAGCAAAAGTATTTCACAGATTCCAATGCCATTGACTTGTTCCTAAACATGATGTGAGTTAATTCATAAAGTAATATTGATGATGCTGAGAATAGGAACAAGTTTGCAATCACTCCGGCTATAATGAACAAACCATCATGCGAAGATTCCGCCCAAGGGAATAGAGCATATTTAAGAGCACGAACCACTGCTGGATAAAGAGGGAAAAACGCGATTTGTGATTCGTGAGAGTATCCTCTCTTTGCGATGTGCAGGAAATGCAACGAGTCCCACCTGCTGAAACCCACCAGCGTTGTGTTTACGATACCATTGATTGTCGTTTGATTTTGCAAAAAATTTGGCGGCACAAAAGCATCAGCGTTATGAGTAGGCAAAATATTGATGGAAGCAACCTGTTGATAAATGAAAATGACAAAAAAACATTATTTACAGTAAAAATTGACAAAAAACACTTACCTGAACAATTAAACATGCTAATTTTGCAAGTAAACAGTATTTTAAACATTCACCATGGTCTGGATTTTTGAAAAAAGTGGTTTTTGATTGTTGACTGTCAACCATGATTCCAAGGGCACTGAAAATAGATGAATTTAACTAATTTAATTTGAGCTAACAAGTGGCATTGATCAACACTATTTAAAGCCGGTGAGTATCAACTCCTCTCTTTGATTTCAGTTTTGTCTATTTTCAAGGCAAATTCTTGTTTTTTAGACGCTTTACTGTTGATGTTTTTGTGTTTTTTTGTTTATGTTTCTCCATCCTTAATTGTTTATTGTGCAAAGTGTTATTTAAAATGCCGATGGAGTGGTTATTTGGCCGAAAAAAGTCTCCGGAGGAGATGCTTCGTGACAACCAAAGAGTTTTAAACAAAGCTGTTCGTGATTTGGACCGTGAAAGAACCAAAATGGAGGCCCAAGAAAAAAAATTGATTATAGATTTGAAAAAAATGGCAAAAGATAATCAAATGGATGCCATTAAAGTGATGGCTAAAGACTTAGTGCGTACGAGAAGGTATATCAAGAAATTCATCCTGATGAAAGCAAATATTCAAGCAGTTGCCCTTAAAATTCAAACTCTCAGAAGTCAAAATTCAATGGCTGTAGCCATGAAAGGAGTTACCAAAGCCCTGATGTCTATGAATAGGCAAATGAATTTGCCTCAAATTCAAAAGATAATGGCTGAATTTGAAAAACAGACAGAAATAATGGACATGAAAGAAGAAATTATGAATGAAGTTATGGACGACGCCTTGGAAGAAGACGATTACGAGGAGGAGAGCAATACTATTGTTGCTCAGGTGTTAGATGAACTTGGTATCCAGGTAAATGAAAAATTAAGTGAAATTCCAACTGTTGGTGGCTCATTACCTGCTGGAACATCTCAATCGAGTAAAACACCAACAGCGGCTGCTGCCTCTGCGGATGATGCTGATGCTGATCTGATTGCTAGACTCGAAAATTTGAGAAGGCAATAAATAGGTGTGACTTACAACTTCTGTAATTTTTTTTATAATATATCTCGAAAGATTTTATCCGTATTGTATTAATTTCTGGTGAATTAAAGTCAGGAATCAGATAAATAAAAGAGTATATTTAATGATTATATTATATTTTGTTTTCAAAAAAATTACATTTTGCTGATATATTTTTTATCAAGATTCATTCTTTAGCCTTATCCCGGTCAATGACAGCTTGATCAAATTTTATCATGAAAGTTGTCCCTTTGTGCCAATGAACTGTCACTTTAGCATTCTGTAAAAATAGAGAATGATGTCAATCTTGAGATGAAATAAACATTGATACATACGAATCCAGTTTCATTGAGAGCAGCTTCTATGATTCCTCCTATGAACGATGCACAATTTAAACTTCCTTTATCCCTATAAATGAAAAAGATGAAATAATTGAAATGGGCATTGTAATTATTCGCAATTAATTAGAATAAAAAATTGAAATTGAGAGTTACCTGTTGTAAGAGATATATTTGTTAACAATCGGGTCACTTTCAATTATATAATCTAATGATGGGAAAGACAATATAATTAATATCGCAAATCATAGTGGACACTCTAACTTACAGGTGGTCGGATCGTCATTAGAATGCTCCAATTTATCCGCATCTTTAGCAAAAAGCGTTTTCCACAAATTTGTCTTGATGAATATTAATATATTTATTAATTTCGTTTCTCTTTTGTAATTTTTCTCCCGGATAAATGTCAAATCAACCAATCTCTGACCAACATGGTAACCCATTTCCGATAATCTAGAAGATGTAAAAATAAATGCATTTTGATTAGATGATTCAGGTCGAGACGATATCAAATACTTACTTTTTTTGTAATTCGGGGACAGTGTATACTTTACTATGGCAGTATTGAACCACCTCTGAAAACAGGAATGCAAAAGCGTTTACACTAACCTATGAATTAACAATTAAGAGGATTATCAGATAGGCAATGATAATATAGTGTTTTTACTTACCTCGTACTTAACCTTAGGCAATGGCCGATCAAGAGGACTGACCTTTTGCTTTCCAGTGAAACTCGGGAATAAATCCATGGTTTTTTAAAGATTAGCCGATTAACCGTGTTGTAAACAATAATTTATTTCATGTGTTGACATAAAATAAGATGAAATGAGGGTTTGAGGCGTTTGCAACTCATCTGACATCTATTGTCATCAATGAGAGCAATTTTTTTACCAAGGGAAAAATTTAAAAGACGTACAATATTTTGAGAAATGATGAAATGTTTATTAATGATTTAAGAACCAATCAGACAAATAATGGTGAGATTAAAATTGATTAGATGAAGGGAAATTTTGTAATCAACAATCGTTTGTCATTGATCGACATTATGGGCTAATTGCATTGGATTTTCAAGCTTTTCAAATGGAAATTGAGATTCTCAATTTTCCATTTGAATGTCCTCGGTGACATTTTCAGATACTTCGGGCATTGTTGGGGAATTTTCAATTAAAGATGTCTCAGTGATAGAGTTTTCATTATTCATTGTTTCAGGTTCCTCATGTTCATTTTCTTCATTCTCGTTCCAATCAATTTTAAATCTCGTTACTCTAGGATAAGTTGCGAGTATATTTCTTTGCAGTTTTTCAAATTGAGGTTGTGGTGGTGGGTTTTCTTTTAACTCCTCTTCAGTATATTCATTGTTGATATAATAACCTATCCTAATAAACTCTTTATTTCTATAAGAACAGCTCAACAGGATTACTGTAACACCTACGGCATCTTGAACTGGGATTTTTGATGGGTCCGGAGGGTCTGCTTGGAAGAAAAACATATGACGTCCTTCGGGAACAGGGCCAACATATACACAGTCAAGTATTTGGTCATAATCTTCTGAATCGGCTGAACCAACATAAATTAATTTCCACTCCAGATCCTCCTTGAGATCCTCCAAACATTCAAATGTAATTTCAAATTGGAACGGGGAGTCGAAAGGAGCCGGATTATCCATCACAACTACATTTATTAAATGAACTTTGGCCATAGTAAGGATTAAACTAATTAAGGATTAAACTGATTAAGGAATAAACAAGTGGTTTGAATTGATGATTTTATACAAAGAAAAAAGTGAAACAAAATATTTAGAGGGAAAATGATGCGGTGGTTCCTATCCTGGTTACTAACCAGTGGTTAGTAACCAAGAGTTCACAATCACATCGATAGTATCGTTTTGTTGATTTATCGATGTGTCTATATCGACTATTGGTTCTACAGGGTGTGAGGAAAGTACGCAAGCAAGGCGGAGTTGCAAGATGTGCGCAAACCTTAATCATTGCCTTAAGCAAAATAAAATCAGTTTAGTGCGCTAGGGGAAAGATTTTTTCCACTCCTTCTCACTCACCCTGTATTTTAAGGTGTTTAACTTGACTCAGAAGCTTAATTTTATCCTTAAAAACCATTGTAGGTCGCCATTTTAGTTCAGTTGAATTACAATTTACCTTATTGTGTGACTATTTTTTATATTTGTTCATTTCATTATTCTTAAATTTCAACATGACTGACAAAATCGACATGTCTCTGGATGCTATCATTAAGATGGATGGTATTTCTGGTTATAAAAAAGGAGCTGGTGCTCGAAGAGGTGGTGGTAATACTGGCAATGCTGGTTCAGGTTCAACTGCTAGAAACAATGCTGCTTCTGGAAATCGTAATCGTGGAGCAATGAAAAATAAGATGAACCGAAATAATAGATCTACTCCTTATTCACGGGTTGGTTGACTGGTTGTTTAATTTAAAACCGCTTTTAAATTTATTTGGTGTTGGTTAAAAATGATGTATATGACAAACCTTAACTGGCTGCCATTTTTACCAGACTATCCATTGTGTTTAAAATTACCTGATTGAAAATGTGAAATTTTTTCAAGACTAATCTAACAGTGATTATCTGATCTGATCCATCATCCATCATAGGCATCAAGGATACCCGATAAGTGGCAACATGATATGTTTGACGGACCATCTCGTACACCTGGTTCAAACCATCTATTGGTATCTAATTTAGATTATGGTGTTTCCGATAAAGACATCCAAGACTTATTTGCTGAATTTGGACTCATTAAAAAAGCTGCTGTTCACTATGATAGATCTGGTCGATCTCTTGGTACGGCTGATGTTATATTTGAAAAGCGAGGTGATGCTGCTGCCGCTATGAAACAATACAATGGAGTGCTTCTTGATGGTAATATTTTTTTCCCTATTAGTTTCATTGGTCTTTATATTAACCAGTTCTCTATGCTTCTCTCTTGTTTCTATAGGTCGACCAATGAAGATTACTTTGGTTCCATCTGGAGATATGTCTCAAAGAAGTAAACCAAACGTCTCATCACCAGGCCAAGGAAACTTCAGATCACCAAAATTTGGTAATGCTTCCAGAGGAGCGAATTCTGGTGCCAGATCTCGTGGTCGTGGTGGTGGAGCTGGCGGGTTATCTAATAAAGGACCCAGGCGTAATAATCAAAATCGTAAATCTCTGACCGCTGAAGAGTTAGATGCAGAATTAGATGCATATGTCAACAAATAGATGACCTCAAGAACAATTAATCAATTCAACATATAACTTTAAGGTATAATTCACTTCATGCTTACTTTCCACGTATAAATATTAAAACCTTTTTTTGTCATTTCATTCAACAGATATTTTCATGTATAACTATCATATTTTGTTCATCCTCTCCTCATTAAAACATGGTTTCTCATCAAATAGATGTACTGTTTATTTTATTCACACAATGTATCAAAAACGTTTCATTTTGCATAGAAATTATGTTTATTTCAATCAATGCATGACAAAGTCTGATGACTTATCAATCATAATATGTAGAGACAAAAATATAAATCTAAAAATGTTATATCGGTCAAATAAAATTTTTGCGCTCATTGAGTTTTACCAGGAGTCGAGCATGATTTAGGGACACATTCATCTTCCGAATTCGGAATATACATCGTGAATGCTTCTGAAACTCTGAAGTGCATCGAGCCACGATGGATGATGGGGTTAACGGACAGGTCGGCCAAATCGAAATCATTACGCATCGATTTACAAGCAGCGACTGGAGCACGCATTTTGACTGGACTGTTTTTATCAGTTGTAGTTTTATCAGTTAACTCCCTACTGTTTTCAGCAATTATAGATAATTTGTTGTTGCTGCGAGCGAGCAATGATTTACGTTTGGTATCTTCAAGAGCTGATTTAATTTGTGAAATTTTATTCTCAGCTTTCTCAATTTCCATATCGATAGGATCGTGTCTTTCTGCTTGAAATTTATCAAGAAAATCACAATTTGGTTCCTTTATCTCGATGCTGTCCTCGTGAATTTGCAAATTAGGTTCCTTTATCTCGATACTGTCTTCTTGAATTTGTAAAGTTGGTATTTTACTCTCAATGCTGGCCTCATGAATTTGTGATGCAGGTTTTTTTATTTCGATACTGTCCTTGTAAATTTGAAGAGTTGGCTCTTTATTCTCAATGCTGTCCTCGTGGATTTGTAACACTGGCTTTTTTATTTCGATGCTGTCCTCATGAATTTTTAAGGCAGGTTGTTTCATTTCGATAGCCTCTTTGTGAATTTGTAAAGTTGGTTCTTTACTCTCGATGCTGTCCTCATGAATTTGTAGCACTGGTTTTTTTATTTCGATGCTGTCTTTGTAAATTTGTGAAGTTGGTTCTTTATTCTCGATACTGTCTTCGTAAATTCTTAGCGCTGGTGGTTTATTCTCGATACTGTCCTCGTGAATTTTAAAAGTTGATTTCTTAATCTCGAGAATATTTTCAGCAGATATTTGAGTCTGGAGACTTTTCTGATCAATTTCAGCTTTTTTCAAATTGAATGTTTGGTTATCAATTGATTTATCGAATCCTTTAGAGCTGGACAGAGCAGAGGAAGACACAAGATTTTTAGCAGCTTCTCCACATTCTGTAATGTCAAATCGGATTAGCGGGACGTTATCCTGAGCTGGCGCTACAAAAGTTGGAGCCTCGATAGTCATGTCTTTGTAAATTGTGAAATCTTTGACTGGAATTGATGGAATAGGCTGAAGCATAGTTTTCTCAAGTTGAGTATCATTGTATGAACCATTAATTAAGTCACGAACCATAGTAGACACCTCTTGTTTGTCTTCATTTGCTGGTTTGTTAGCCTGAATAAGTCCCATGACAGTTGATAGTTTATCTTGAAGAAATTGAATTGCTTGCTCATTTGACTCAACTTTCCTTTTAAGGTTAACAATTTCTTTTGCCATTTCTTTATTTGAGCGTTTTGCCGCTTTCTCTTTCCTGCAATTCAACCACTTGCGATACCGGATCTCTTCAAATGAGTACTCGTAGCCATTAATGTAAATTGAATTCAAGTCACAATAAAATTTCTGATTTAATGCCAAACTTTCAGGCTTCAAAAGTGGTGGTGAATCGGCACGTCTTTTTCGTACTTTTAACAGATCTGCTGTTCCAACATCATCCGAATCAGAGTCTTCATCATCACGATAAACCAAAAAATCACAATGGCGGTTAACAACAGGTTTTAGCTCTCGAGGAGCAGCTTGGATGACATTTAGATCACTAGCATCAAGCTTGCAAATTGTTGACAAAGGTTGAACATTTTCTTTGTTGATAAATCCACTAGTATTATTTGAACACATATTTAATTATCAATTAAAATTCAATTTAAAACTCAAAGATTAAAATTGGAAGATAAACAATTTGTTTGAAACCAATACATATATATGAATGTTTTGGAGGGATTTTTCAAATTAAACCGACCAATAGAAATGAGGGAGCATTCAAAAATAAAAATTGTAGTAAAATATTTTTGTTTGAAACTTTTGTCAAATTTTAATGCAAAAAAGTGTTATTAACAAGTTGTGTTTTCTGTTTTTGAATCAAGATCCTGATTTGTCTCCAATTTTTCTTTCAAATCGTTTTGTTCTTGTTTTTGGTTCCGCTCATTCAGTCTTGCTTGTTTCCTTTCTTGTTTATCTTGAAACTTTTTTAGTTCAGTTGCCTCTGTAAAGAAAAAATAAAAGTGATTTTATAATCAATGTTTTCATTACAAATTTGCTAATTTTAACGCACCTAATTCCTTTGTATCACCTCCACAGATTCTGAGAAAATAAATTCTCTCCGATTTTGAGACAAAAGGACGAACAGTATTTTTTCCTTTCCAAATACATAAAGGAACAACCATTTCATGATTAATGGTTCCTTTATTTGGACATTTTGAAGTTAAGTTTTCACAATAAATAGCAACAATGCATCCACTTGGTAAAGTTGACAATTTAAGTCGAGTTGATTCTTCTAGTTCTTCGTGTCTGGTCATTTCTTGGGTCATTACGAGAGCAAGTTCAGTTGCATTAAGTGTCACCATATTTTCTTTATCAAGGTAGGGAAATTTTGAAGAAAAACCTTCTTGAGTTATTCTATAGCCAACATCACAAACTTCAGATTCAAATCATATTTTCATTTTGATTAAAATGTCGCGAGTGAAATGACATTGAAAAAATTGCTGTTTTTGCATTATCTTGGATTACATTTAGATCACTAGCATAAACCTTTTCAAGCTTACAAATAGTTTAACATTTTCTTTGTTGATAAATACATTAGTGTTGTACAAACACATATCTAATTATTAATTGAAATTCAAGTTTGAAAGGCCATAATTCCTCATTGTTTTAGCGTTGATTTAAAGAAATCAGAATAAAAATTCAATCAGAATCATTTGTCTTTTTTTAATCAAAATGGAGGTATTAAAATCGCAATAAAATGGTCTTTTTACTTGTTGTTCATGATCGTCAATGTTAAATTTTGTGAAAATCCTCGGTCAATTCTTGGTTAAAATTCTGAAAAAACAATAATTGGATTAGTAGCTTAAGCTAAAATTTTACAATTGTTTACTTTAGCGTCCAAATGAGTCCAAACCATTCAAGTTAGCCACGGTAACGTAAGTACATATCGTTAGCATCAAACCGATATGTATCAGGCCAAGCTGAGAACAGCGCAGTACACACTGGATCTGTAAGATGTGCAATATTCAAATTGAGGTTCATTCTTCTAAATTCATCTGGTTGTACGTAATCTTTTAAACCATTTTCATCACAAATTTTTCGCAATTCATCTGATTTCAGCAACTCTGATACTCTTTCTGTGAAAGATCGACGACCCAGGTAATAGCAATAATTTCGGTCGCATCCAGTTGCATTAACCATACTCTGCAACTCATATCTACAACCCAATCCAATATCCTCTGTAAAAAGTCTCGTTCTAAATAGAAAACAATCGCCATCATGGAAAGCATTCATTGCGCGTTCCTTTGAGTCGTATTCCCAATCCCAGACCTCATTCAAAATTCTGAAAAATTCATGAAAAAGGATTAGATTTCAAGAAAGGCAATCAAAAAGTTGGATAAAATCATTTACCCATCCTTCCATTCGGCATTTATCAGACTACCAATGGTATTTGATGCGTGATACACATCAACACCCAACAATTGCTCAAAAAATAGATGATCAAAAGTAAATCACTTGTTATGTACAGAAAAGGTTAAACTGAAATTTGTGTTTCAATGAATCTCTCTCAAAACCACCGTCTTTGAGCGCTTTGCTTGACAAAGATTGAACATTTTCTTTGTTGATAAATACAATAGTATTGTTTGAACACATATCTAATTATTAATTAAAATTCAAGTTTTAAAGGCCATGATTTCTTATTGTTTTAGCGTTGATTTAAAGAAATCAGAATAAAAATTCAATCAGAATCATTTATCTTTTTTTAATCAAAATGGAAGTATTAAAATCGCAATAAAATGGTCTTTTTACTTGTTGTTCATGATCGTCAATGTAAAATTTTGTGAAAATCCTCGGTCAATTCTTGGTTAAAATTCTGAAAAAACAATAATTGGATTAGTAGCTTAAGCTAAAATTTTACAATCGTTTACTTTAGCGTCCAAATGAGTCCAAACCATTCAAGTTAGCCACGGTAACGTAAGTACATATAGTTAGCATCAAACCGAAATGCCAAGCTATCAGGCCAAGCTAAGATCCGCGCAGTGCACACTGGATTTGTAAGATGCGCAATATTCAAATTGAGGTTCATTCTTAAAAATTCTGCTGGTTGTACGCCATATTTTAAGGCATTTTCATCACAAATTTTTCGCAATTCATCTGATTTCAGCAACTCTGATACTCTTTTTGTGAAAGATCGACGACCCAGGTAATAGCAATAATTTCGTTCGCATCCAGTTTCATTAACCAGACTCTGATGCTGCAAGTCATATCTACAACCCAATCCAATATCCTCTGCAAAAAGTAACGTTCTAAATAGAAAACAATCGCCATCATTGAAAGCATTCATTGCGCGTTCCTTTGAGTCGTATACCCAATCCCAGCTCTCATGGTAAGTTCTGAAAAATTTATGAAAAAGAATTAAATCTAAAGCAAGGCAATCAAAAAGTTGGATAAAATCATTTACCCATCCTTCCATTCCATATTTAGCAGACCGTGACCGTGACGAAATGTTCTGTCCACGCTGACATAGTGTTGATGTTCAACTGGTATTCCTGTGTATGCTGATAACTATTGATATGAGTAAAAAGTAAACTAGAAATTAATCACTTTCTTGTCTTTTCTTTTGACTTACCTGATGGAACAATTGTTTCCTGTAATCGAAAATTTCATTTGACCAATCAATCGTAATGTCATGATAATCCTCATCCGAATGCCTTATTTTTATTGTAACTAAACATTACAAAGAAAAAATGTTAAAACTGATTTGATGAAAAAACGAAACTTACTTTTATCAGAGTCATGATTAGTTTCATGCATTATTCACCAAAAAATTAATTTTACAAATTATTATAAATTATAAATAAGTTAATCTAGAAGATGGAAGATAAAATTTTTATTCAAGTACTAAAGATTTTGGGCAAAAGTAGATCACCTTTCGCATGTAAAAAGGGTCAAACTAAGGCCGTGGTTTTCAACACCAGTTTTTAACCAGTTGTAAGTAAAAAAGTAAGTTTCTCAAAACCAGTTTTCATTTCTTAGCCGTAATTTCGAGTCATGGTCCTAATAGGATTGTCATATGAATGTAACCTAGGTGACTCTCAATCCCTTTACTTTGAAATATTAGGGCGTCAAGTATATTTGGCGATTCTCTATGAAAAAAGTCTCATTTGTGACTTTTTTTGGTTAAAACAATATAAATAATAACTAAAAAAGTAGTACCTCGAATCAACAAATAAAAATGAGGAAGATATGTGATCAGTGATCATAATAAAAATTGAATTTAATGTTTTTGTTTTCAACTTATTACATAAAAAATTTAATTACACACTAATATTCAGTTGAATTGTAAACATTTTAAAGGGTTATCACCAAACCGGCTATTTATCTTTATTTTCATCATCACTTTCGACAACCTTCGCAGTTCGTTTTCGTTCACTAGATGATTTTTTCTTATCCAGGTCACTATCATCGTCACTATCTGTATAGATATTATAACCAGCACCTCCTTTCTTGTAACGTTTTTTAATTGCTGATAAAGATACACCGCCATCATCATCATCATCATCATCGTAAGCATCAGGCTCTAAATAAGATGCTGTTGGACCACGGAAAGGAGCTTTTTCCCAAGTAAAAATTGTAGTAAAATATTTTTGTTTGAAACTTTTGTCAAATTTTAATGCAAAAAAGTGTTATTAACAAGTTGTGCTTTCTGTTTTTGAATCAAGATCTTGATTTGTCTCCAATTTTTCTTTCAAATCGTTTTGTTCTTGTTTTTGGTTCCGCTCATTCAGTCTTGCTTGTTTCCTTTCTTGTTTATCTTGAAACTTTTTTAGTTCAGTTGCCTCTGTAAAGAAAAAATAAAAGTGATTTTATAATCAATGTTTTCATTACAAATTTGCTAATTTTAACGCACCTAATTCCTTTGTATCACCTCCACAGATTCTGAGAAAATGAATTCTCTCCGATTTTGATACAAAAGGACGAACAGTATTTTTTCCTTTCCAAATACATAAAGGAACAACCATATCATGATTAATGGTTCCTCTATTTGGACATTTTGAAGTTAAATTTTCACAATAAATGGCAACAATGCACCCACTTGGTAAAGTTGACAATTTAAGTCGAGTTGATTCTTCTAGTTCTTCGTGTCTGGTCATTTCTTGGGTCATTACGAGAGCAAGTTCAGTTGCATTAAGTGTCACCATATTTTCTTTATCAAGGTAGGGAAATAATGAAGACAAACCTTCTTGAGTTATTCTATAGCCAACATCACAAACTTTATCATCAGCTCGACAGAATAAACGAACTCCAGCATTAATAAACTAATAGAGTATTAAATTTGAAATTAGGAATGAAAGCAATCAAATATTCAATTGTGTAAATTTATAAATACTTACTTTGATGTTACTTTCATTATTTATTATGATTTCTCGAGCTGAAGAAGTTACAAAATAAATATTTCTCTTAGCTCCTTTTGATCGCGCGACCAATTGATTAACAGGAAATTTATCAGAAATTTTAAAAAACTTTTTAATCTCGATCCATTCTTCACTTTCTTCAGTAAAAAAGTAGAAAGGATCTTCACGAAAACCGAGAGAACGTCTTGCTCTTTTAGCTGGTGGATCTGTTTTGATTTGAGAAGTATCAGTCATCTCTTCTGTTTTCAAATTTTCTGCATCACTAGGTTCTTCTTTCGGTTTTTCCCATGGAAGATGTTCAACTTTTTTCCTTAAAACTGCGACGAAAAATCCTCCGGTATTTTGATAATGAGGTAATATGCGCATACATCGATGAAGATTCAATTCTTTAGCATTTTCTGGAGGGAACATTGTTTCACGAATTTGTGTTCGGTAATTTTCTTCGACTTCTTGGAAAGAATTGAGAATTTTCATGTCTTTTTGCATAACAACCCAAGTATCTATACCTGGTGAATATTTGAGTCCAGGTAGGCGTTCAGATACATCAACAAGTTCAACACCGCCTTCACATTGATTCAACAAAGAGGCAACTACAGCTTCATCTTCCATTGGATTAAGACTACAAGTTGAATAAACCATTAAACCATCTTTTGCTAACAATTCTAGACATCTTCTACCAATTCGAGACTGGATACCATGAAAATTATTTCCATTAGATATCGTCCATTTTGTCCAGACATCAACATTTTTTCTGATCGTACCATCTCCTGTACAAGGTGCATCACAAAGGATTCTGTCAAATTTCATTTTTGTCTTATTCCCATCTGTCTCTGAGAAGAAATTCGGCATAACACCAGCATCATGATTACAAATTACAAAACATGGTGAATGTAATCGCTTTGCTTGATGAACAAGCATATAGCACCGTTTGTTATCAACATCATTGGCGACGACCATACCAGAACTATGAAGATAATAAAAAGAAAATTATTAAAGGTTAAAAATAAGTTAAAAATTTCGTAAAGCTTTAAAGATTCTTGAAAAAGTTGACCGGTATTAGTATGCTTAATATGAATTATTCACAGTCCACTTTACCTGACCGATGAAGAATTTGACTGTTTACATTCCAAATTAACCAAGTTAACATCTAACATTTCGATTATTTGAGCAGTTTTGGATCCTGGAGCTGCACAAGCGTCAAGAACTTTATGATGAGGCTGAACATCCAATAAAAGTGGGGGTATCATTGATACAGCTTCTTGGCGTGTAATATAACCATTTTCTGATTCAGAAACCAAGAAAGAATGTAATCGCTGAAGAGCTTCGGATTTTCTGATTTCAACTCGAGAATAGTTAAACTGAAAAGAGAGACCATCTTTATCCCACGGTAAAGCTGCAATTGCAGCAACTCTATTACCATCTGGATTAACTATGGCACTAAAACTATCATCATTAATCATATCTCGTAATTTCAAAGTTTGACCCATGCAGCAACGACTTATACGGAATGCAGCCGGCAATTCATCTCGAATCGTATTCATAAAACAATCCCATTCTTCAGGTTTAACAATATTTTGAGCTTTGTAATATTTAACATAAGTTTCATTTTCTTTAACAATATCAGCATAATTAATTGGTTTTCCAGGTCTCCTATTTCCACGGTTACCTTTTGAATCCTGTTTACCTTTTTTATTTTTGAAACGACGACCCATGATGACAATTGGTTATAAACACACTTTCGTTAAAAATAAAAACTAAAGATGAAATGAAGATAAAAGTGTAACTTCAAAATAAAAACACATGCAACTTGCTCTATGGTGACTCACAACATGTGGTTCAAAATCTGTGAGTGGAATGAAAGGCGCCAAATATGTATTCTTACACTTAAACTGGATGCAACAGTCAATTGCTAATAACTTTTGCGTACTTTACTCGAATTGGCCAATTTTTTCAATTTAATAAATTATATTAGTGAAAGTTTTTTTCTTGATAGTCTCAGAACAAGAAAAGTCGAAACTTCATACTGTTTCAAAGGCCAAATGTTGATTTTTTAATGAAATTTTTTTCCATCGATTTCGAGTCATAACTCATATAAAATGGAAAAGATTTACGAATTCGAGCAAAGTGCGAAAAATTAAATGATCAAACCCGACTGTTACGACCTGAATAGGATATACACTTAAAATTGCGTGTTGATAACATTGTTAACAGCTTTTGATTGACTAAATGGTTACAGGATGATCGAGTTATCAGGTTGAAATGCTAATTATAATCTAATTTATACATTGTAATAGCTGCATGCAATAGCTGATTGATTGGTAAAGGTAAATATTTTTTTCACAGGAAATTTATTTTCATATTATGACATTTGGCCAATAATTTGATTATTATACTTTCAATCATTCAACTGAATATCATTGTCAATTAAGATAACCTTCAAAAAGTCAAAAGTTATTGTATTATTGGCCATTAACTCTGATGAGGAGTTGTTTTTTTTTTTGGTTATGGCTTTGAATTTTGATCAATCCCACTCCAGTTTAGTCAATTATTTCCAAATCTTTGCTCATTTAATTGGTATTATCAATAATTAATAGCTTAGGTTGAGTCCAAATTGAATGACAACTTGAATTAGTCGATCAATGAATTGAAATGTGAGTCTCAGTTTTGACCAAAAACTGAGCCTTTTCAAGTCTTATATTTCACTGGAAAATCTGTTAAGGTTGAGAAACATAAATCAAGTGAGAATCTGTGTTTAATACAAAATTAAATTAGTTGATCAGTGTAATAGTGAATGTCAAAGTAAACAAGACAAAAAAAAACAAGAAATCATCAAATGTTGACCATTAAATTGAAGCGTTAAAATTACAATCAGTTAACTGCCTGGAGTTGTCCATAACAAGATAAGATGGTCCAGATGATTATGATGTTGATTCTGATGGACATAAATATACTTGTACAATTTATTGTAATAACTAACTAGTCTCAAAACCATAGAGTAACAAGTGGGTTGAACTGAAGACAAAAACGCGCCTGAGCTTAAAATCACTTTTTTTCATTTAACCCAACATTATTTAACTTCACTTGCTTCTAATTTTGTTGACTGATCAAATAGAATCACCAAATTATAATATCATCGTGATCAAATTAGTGTATCCATCGCATTATTCATAACATTTAAATCATGAATAAACCAAAGCAACTTCACCAGTAAGCTCAGTGTTTCATCTTGCAGTTTACATTCAACATTAACGGTTAACATCACAAGTAACATTTCAACAAACATCTTGAATAAAGCTACAATTAACATCATAATTCCCATATTTACAACTAAATTAACATCATAATCAAAAGAAATCGTTTTCTTGTATAAATCTGGTTCATTGGACAGTTTAAGAATCAAGATTTCTTGATTTGTTTCCTTTTTGCTGTAGTTTTGCTCATTGAATTTGCAGTTATAACAATGATTTGGAGCATTTTCTTTGGTTATTTAATTTCCACACTTTTAATTTCAATTAGTTTATCGTTTGAACCAAATCCGATTATCTCTGGAAATCATAAATTGCTGTTAAAACCATTTAAAATTGTAATACCTCGCGATGATTTAACATATTTGCAACCTTATCCCGAGTCTTTGGCTTATAACTTGGTGAGTAAATTTTTCACACTTAAATCCCTTTTCACCACCAATCAACAATCAAACAATCAGTTCATTAAAAATCAAATTCAATAAATGAATTCAAAACATTTCAGTTGAGATTATTTCTGACTAAACCTTAATTTCCCAACTAGACTTGAGTCTTGAAGTGTTCATTTAAATCGTATAAATAGATATAATGAGCAATCTAATTGAACTTATGTAATCAACTAATTAGACTAATTAGTCTGAAATATTTTACTCCATTGACTAAAATAGTTGAAAGATATTTATTAATAATAATTTCAATTCTAATAATAAACTGTTTTTATTTTTACAAGAAATTTAAAAGTCTTCCTTTGATAGATTCATTGATTTACTCAATTAATTATCATTGATATCTTGCTATTAGTTAATTTATTGAGTGATTTTGCAACAAAATGCATTTAATTGAATTGAAATTCAAATTGAAATTGATTTAATTCAGTTTAATCTCATCTTTGAGTCAATGAATATTTTAGGATTCACTTTTTGCTTCAACCAAAAACCGTTGAACGTTTCATGTTTTAATTTATAAACATCACATTTAATTTTATCTTTACACTTAGCAAACAATTAGATAGTTAATCTTGATTTAACCTCTTTAAGGTTAAGGTTTTTACCTGTTGGGTCATTAACAGGGCTAATGAATTGAAACAAATGCAAATGTTGGTTCAAAGGACTGATTGAAAAGTAACCTGATCAGGCAAATTGTCAAGTGTTAATAATTAATCAAGCTTCCAGCTTTGATAAAGCAAAGTGAATTTAAAGACCAATAAAACTATCTCTTTGAAAATCATCAAAACATTTAAAAGTGAAAATAAATCATGATTAAATCTCGGATAATCATAACCAGAAATGATTAAAATTGAGACTTTTTGGGTTGAAAAGAAATGAAGAGACCCAAAAAGGGTTTTTATTTATGATTGTGATTGTGGTGAAGCACCAGAATAGTTAACCATTTGCATTCAATTATTAATGGATTATTTGAAAGTCAAAAGGTGTACAAATTGATAGATAAGGACAGGAAAAATCACTCTTAATAACAATCAAACCTTTATTGTCCTTAATCTTATTTTTACCTTTATTTTCTTGGTTAGTAGATTTGCTTTTGTGTTTTGTCCTCATCAATTGACCATTAAGATGAAGTCAAATTGATTGATGAAATAATCATAGTCAACAACAATCACATGTCGCACTGTTAATGGTGAAATCAAAATGAAGGTAAAATGCATCAAAACAGTCTTCATAACATTTAAATAATCATTACTATTTTGTTTCAATCAACTTGATTACTCTGGAGATTATACATGCTAATCATTATTGATTGAAATTCAATCTAAAATGAAATCTTCTCCCTCTTTACTTTTTTTACTGAATTAAGCTGATTTTTGTCTTTAATTTCAATCTTGAATCTCATCTTACGATTCACATTTTTTACAATCAAAGACAATTGGTTTATTTTCAACCAACAATTATATAATCATAGTGTCTATGGGTTGCACTGATCAATGACAATCAGTGTTGAATGGATTACAGAATATAATTTGAATGTTCATTTGCTTTTTTCTTGAGTAAAACCAATGACAATAACATGGGCCTTGAACATCATGTTGGCTATTTTCATGTTGATTTTGTAAGCAAACAGTCGATATTTGATTATGTCCAATTGTTGTATAAGAAGGTGATTAAATAAGTCTCAATTTAAAATCAACAAAAAGAGCTGAAAACACCAACAAATTATCACCTATTTTCATGTTTATTTTTCAAATATCATCAAAGTTGATTGTTAAATAAAGACTTCTTATTGCCAATAATTTGAGCTGAGCTGATCATCTTCAATATCATAATAATTTGATTATTTTCTAGCAGTTTATATAAAAAGTAAACTGTAATCTGTTTCAACTGTTGCATGCGATTCTTAAGCATACACTTTAGAGACTCGCATACTATTTTTGATAATTGCTTATCAAGAACAAACATTGAACTTTCCAGGAAAATTAGCCATAATTTGTCGTTAATCAGTGTGTAAATATAACTCCATTCAATCTACAAATTGATTTAGATGATGTTGAGAAGCAGCTTTGAAATTGAAGTTGAGTAAAGAGTTGATGGACTTGATTGTTTAATTTTTGACATTGAAAGTCTTCAAGATGTAATTTAACCTTCGAGATTGACCAAATTGGAATCAAATGTCTTAACAAAATTGTAACATTTATCTTTCTTTTTCTTTTTCCATTATTAATATCATATTTCGTCCAGGGTCGCCAACGCATCAATGACTATGTAAAAGCTCGACTAGCTGACCATCCAAATGAATATGGAGAGAGCAAAGAAGATGGTGAATCGGAAGGTTCCTATGAAGAGGACGAGAATGAAGAGGATTTAGATGAAATTAACAATACAAATAATAAAAATAGCAATAAAAATGACCTTTACCAGCAACGACACAATCACAATGGAAAGGATGTTAGACAAGTGAATAAGAAGAGGTCATCTGTAATGCTTAATAGACTTGGATTTGTCCTGCACAAGGCTGCACATAAAGTCAACGCTCCGCGAATGGAAAAATCAACAAGATCTGATGATATTGGCGGTGGACCCAAATTTACCGACAAATCAGGCACAAAGGATAACATGCTTAAATGTTTTTTCAACGGAGTCTCATGTTTCTGAGTGTGAATAACCAACATGGCGCATACAAAAGGCCAATTTTGCAAAAAGCTCGGAGAACAGTAATTGTGTGAATTTGATGGACCCAATTTTGACTGGTCTTTACTATCATCGTCATCTTTTTCATTATCATTATCTGAACAGTAGTTTGTTGTAAAGATGCATGTGACTCACTACTTTGCAAATGAATTGTTGAAATTTGTTATTACCGTCAAATAGTAATGATAAACCAACGTGTTACCTTTGCAAGCAAACCAAAAGACACAAACAAATGAACAAAAATTGATAAACACATTAATAAGAATAATAAATCTTCTGATTATCATATGATGTATCGTCTGATTAACATATAGTATATATTTTATCCGTTAGATGAAGCCACCTATTAGAGCCAAAATTTTTCCTGATTTTACCAAATTTCATCTTGAATTGATTACGATTCAGAAATATACAAGAATATGAATAATCTTGCCCTGCAGTTAGACGACAAGGGCTTTATTATTTCATTATAATTTTATTTCTCGCTTTTCGTTGTTTCTTTAAGGTTTCCTAGTGAAGCTCAGTTGAGTATAATTTTGTACATGTTAGAGTTGAGATGTTGGTGTCTTCAGTCTTGAAATAAATGGCATAATTGTGTCTTTAAATTGCTGAAGAATTAATTGAGCAACAAATTAACATGTAAATTGGTCATTTTGATGATAATTGGTCTTGGAGTTAAATGTTTTGAGAAATCAAGTTTCAAAATTGAGATGAGATCATTGAGAAATTAACTTAATTCACCAACATCTTAATGGATAATGAATATTTAGCTGTTAAATTTTTTCACATAAAACATTTCCATGAAAAGATTCATTCTTTAATTACGCTTTAAACCATTTCTCAATGCAATTTTCAGATGCCTTCTCCCATAATAATTGACTTTACCATTTAATCATCAGCAGTTTATAAGAGTACTATTAAGGCATTTAATCTCATTTGAGTGCATTAATTAACACCAAAAGGTAACCAATTTGTTTCTGCTCCGTCAACTGTTGATTAAAACGTATTCACCATCCAACATGATCGTGACAACAAACCAATACTGGCTCAATTCACTTCTAACCTGTTGTCATACGATTCTTAATATTAATTAAGACTTTTCACTCATTGAATACCAATCAATATCGCCGTGTTTATCAGTATCACGTTCATAATAGCACTTTACTGTTGATAGCTAACCAGCTTCCTAGTTTTGGGTAACCATTTTTTATCATCTTGATCGTCATCTATCATGGATTCAAATTGTATACAAAAACGATTCAAATCAAAATTTGCACATTTATTTTCAATAATTAACATGATTAACATGATTAGGTTCGTCATTTGAAAAATGATTTGTTTGATGATAGTTATTAAAAAATATCAGTATCTATGGCAATCAGTTTAAATACAGTCAATTCTGTTTGAAAAGACCTGAAGTGACAATGAAACCCAAAAATAATTTTGATTACATTTTTAAATTGAAAAGACCAATGTTTCATTTTATCGATGGTTTCTTTCATTGTCAATTCAGGTCTTTCTATTGACTGTAAGCTTCTTTTTTGAGTGTTGGTTTCAGATATTATTCACAGCAGACAGAAGCTCTTTTTTTCTGGACAATAGTTGATGAGCCCAGCTTAGTTAAAAAAATGAAACAATGATAAAATTATTCAGATCACAGATTGAAAACAAGGATGAATTTAAAAAAATGAATGAGGCACATTTGGTATCATTAACAGACAGCAAAAGTCACCTGGTTGTCAACAGGTTGCGAGTTGGAAACGAGCTTAACTGGGATTCTATCGTTAGTAAAGGTCTCCTCACTCAACGAAGTGTCTCGATAAAAATGTTCATCGTTGGTGCAACCAGAGAAAACATTACATGCTTCAAACCTGCCACCTATTTCGCTGTCACTTTCTTCTTCTTCAGATGATGATGAGGAATCTAAAAAGTCCAGACTAATGTCAGGTTTGATTAGTTTTCGTCGGATTGATCCAGAAGAACCAAACGAGTTGATACTTTCAGGAAGACTCTCGGGAGGATCACTTGGAGTTGATCGTTCTGAAATTAACATGGAATCCCATGGTGAAGGTGATAACGAGATTGGTCCTGTAGTGGATGACACAACATTTGACATATTCAAATGAGACCCTGTTAAATTATCATTGACTGGCATCAGGGGTAATCTATAAGTCGAGGTGTCGATGTTGATCGTAATTTTGTCCATTAATAAAAGATATATCACAATTAAAAGTAACAATAAATCCAACTTGTAAAGGCAAGTAAAACATGTACATGAACAGTGGCCAGTAAACAACATGGGATAAGTCCAAGAATGGTAGATATAATCCATAATCAGAAGGGCCAATCAATAAAAGAGCACATGTAATCCAATCTTGCAACAGACATCAGTGTAAATTCCGGTAAACATTATATTAAAAGAAACATTTTGGGAAAAACAATGAAACACTTCATAAGATGAAATGTTATTCAGAACGCCGAGACAGACAAAACATACAATTAATGAATTGACACTGTTGATAATTAGTATAAAGACGATCACAATTACAGTTTTTAAAAATAATTTGAAAGTCTGTTAACCAACTCACTTGCAAGTTGAAAATGAAAGACCAGACTGGTTTTCAACTTTAAGCGTCATCTAGTGCGAAAGAGTATAAGAAGGTAAAAATGATTAAAGAAGACAGCAAAAAAGCACTTTCCTTCACCTCTCTCTTTCTCCCTTTCTTTTAATCATCATTTGCTTATACATTTGTATCTATGCATCGCCTTGTCACTCAGTAAACAGTCTTTTTATGGCTGATTTTTCCTTATATCACTTACCCTGAGGCTTATTAATAACTTTCTTTAGCCTTTCTGCTTCTCTTGTTTACGTTCTTGTTTCTGTATTTGCTCAATTTTTCTCCACCTTTTCCCTTTCTTCACTTGGATCTGTGAGATTCCATGATTAGGATAAGCTTTTTACTGTAAATGAAAACAAGCATTACCATGTAAGGTTATCAAGTAATCATTGTTTCCTTTCTGCAATAGAAATGAGAATAAATTACTCAGACTGAACCCTTGAGTATCTGATATCTTGGTGACAATAAAATTATGATTCACTTTTATTGATGGCCTCAACATATCTCACAATTATCATCGTTTTGTCCACTTCAATATAACCCAAGATTAAATAGCAATTAAACGTTTTCTGTAAGTTGTTTTACCTTAATCTATCATTTCTCAGCCTTGAACTTTCATCGTTAAACATTTTAATCGTCATTAATTGAATTCTTTGCTTTCTGTAACTTGGTCAAGAATGTTCATCACCAGGGAAATGATGAAAAGCTTTGTATCCAATATCAGTCAATACGAACCACTTTGGTCAAAACCGATTGGGTTTAGCCTCGTTTCTGGTTCCCGTTCAACATTCAAAAGAAACAAAAGCTCTAATCTTAATCCCTGTCTTCACTCAGAGAACTGAATGAATGAATCCATGTGAATTTTCCGTTTTATTATACATTTAATCCAACAAATCTGATGAAGACTGAGCCTCAATATTGATAAAGATTAGACGCTGGAAGAAGAATGAAAATAAAGAAATAAAAGCAATTAAGGCTGCTGATTTAATTATCATTAATAGGTTAATCTGTCCTGGAAACGGAATGTTTGAAGTTGAAATATGAATTGTGATAAACATGATTAAGAGTATTATTAGTATCACCAAAATGAATCTCAACACGATAATTATCATCAACATTATGATCCATCAATTTTTACACCAGCTTTAAGGGTAAGTTAATTATTACAGTTACTAATAAAACATCTAAAACAACACTTTGATCAGTTGAGCTCAACTTACAACTAACTAATTAACATATTGATACTCTAATTGATCAATTTACTAACAATCAAACATCGAGAGCAAACCTTTAATCAGTTTATTATTGAAAATGTTAGCCAAGAAAAGCAAATAATTTCAATAAGGAAACTGATCACTTCTCATTGATTGAGTAAAATTAACAATCTAATTGACCTTATTAGGTTAACCGTCAAGTTATCTTACAATTGAAACTCTTGATGAAATATTGAGAAAAATCATTTTTAATTGTTGTAATCGTAGGTGTTGAGGTGAACCGGATAAAGATGTTAATAATCAATTGATGAACAATTGTCAAGATAATGTATCTTTTGATTTGCATCCTTTCATTTTCTCGTTTTTGGTGTAAATTAGTGTAAATTAGTGTGATTAAGTGATCAGGGAAAGTTGAATTTACCCGAAAAAATCAATATCAAGAAATGGGAAACAATTTCCAATTTCACCGATTTTTTATTCAATTTTGTTTAAACATAATTATCATTCAATCCTTCAACTGTTTCTGTTTCACATTTACAGCGTTTTTTACTCTTTAACTTGACCACTGTGTCCAATTTCCGATAATCCCGTTCATTTTCACCATCATTTTCTGGTCTATGGTTTGGTCCAACTCCTCGAGATGAATAAAACAAAGCTCCAAACATGAACACGTAAATCATAAGGACAACCTGATGAAGAGAGAAGAGGAAAACAATCAAAATGCTTTAATCACATGAGTACTTAACTCGGAAAGGGCCGATTGATTAGCAACACTGAATGAATGAATGGCGAATCAAGGAAAAAGACCATTTAAGGCCATTCCTTCAACGTTTTTCCCGGTGAATATTTATGTCTATTTTGAGGAAATTAATTTACGAAATTGATTTACCTTTTCTCTATGAAAATCAATGGTTAAACCAATCATACTTCTGTTTAGTATTGCTAGACTAATCGACTGAATTTGCTTGATTTTTGGAAATTTATTTTCTCACTCAACAATTTATTTTTAGTCTGGAATCAATGACTGTCCTTGTTGAACAATTTAGATTGAAGATGATTACTGGTAATGTTCATATTTAACTGTAAGGCCTTGATGTCTTGTCAAAGTAAACCTTATTTGAGAAACAATTTACAAGGTTAATGAACAATGTAAATTGTATTCTGATTGTTACTGAATATTGCAATTATTTCTTCTTATTCAATTGAATTTACAATAATTGCATTACCAAACTAATGCATAAAGAAATAATCATTTTTTTCTCGTTTCCCTGTTAAAGTTGAAGAGTGCCAATTAAAGTAATCATTGTGATTTAATCAGAGCAAGTGTTGAATCAAATTTCATTTTCAAATGAATCTTTCAAAGTTAACCTTTAACACCTTAAATCTAATCAATTGATTCAACCTAATTGAAGAACGAGAAAAAAAGGTTAAATATTATTTGATCAGTCAAAATTGAATTGACTTTAGTTTATAAAAGGTTAAAACAATCGATGAGGCATCAAGTAACATCTAGTAACTTTGATGACCTCTCACCAGATCAATGGTTTAGATCAATAATGGACTATTAATTGAATTGTGATTTCACTTGAGATCCTGAAAAGTCTACCATTGAATATCGGCAGCAAAAAGATGTAAAACGGTGAAAGAGTTAGACTGTGATTTAATATATATTTATGTTTATTTTTGTGCGACTCAACTAATATAAAATATCTATTTTTCAGATTCCTGGTGGAAACATGGAGTTAACCTGAGAATCTTGTAACCTCAACCATTTAATATAAATGTAGTTACTCGTGATTTGATTACTGAAGAGGATCTTGATGAGATGGAAGCAAGAAAATGGAAAGATGAGGAGCAAAAAGCAATTTACAAAGCAAAATATGATGAACAAGTACATGATGAAGGAGGAGGAGGAAAAATGGTGAAATATTGAAGATGATCAACTCTGGAAATATTAGCTGATGAAAGATGTGGTTGACATTTAGCAAGAAAATGATAATTTGCTTGGTAAATAATTAATTAGGAACAACAATTTGAACGGAAAAAACAAGGATAATCAAAGGGTTCCATGTAATGTTACTTGATTAACCTGGAAACCCTCTGTGAATAATACAAATAACAATAAGAAGCTACAATGATACTTATGAATCTCAGTCAACTGTTATTATTATTGATTATTTAACTTGGTGAAATTAGTTTCATTAAGAAGCTTACAAGTGGAGGTTGATGATGAAAATGTTGAAGATAATCAACTGGTTAACCATTTCACCTTATTATTTTAGATCATTTATTAACAATGTCAGCATTACTTGCTTATTTGTATAGCTTTGTAATATGATTATGAACACAAAGAATCGCATCTACATTAGCATCATCATTACCATTACTATTATGACTGCCATTGTGATTATTTAGTCAGCTAACATTGGTAACAATTGTAATCTAATTTTACCAACATTAACAGTTTTTCATTGTTTTCATTGTTGCTCAGCCATAGTTGGTTGTGCCAATTTAATTTGTCCAAATTGTGTATTTTTAATCACAATTGACAAAAGAAGATGCTAATGAGATGAATCTGTAAACATGAAACCAAGATGAAATTGATAACCACCAAATGAATATGATTAAAGCGACTTTCTGCAAAATTGAACAAAATCTGTTTCTCATTTTTTTCAGGTAAAGATTGAAACAATTGGGTAAACAATTAACAATCAAACATAAGGGTAAAACAATTGTAAACAGTGAATATGGAAAAATGAAAAATGCTTTTACAGTTGCATGTCTGCATTATAATTGATTTCCCAAAAGTTTTGAATACACAATGAACTGAATGGAAACAAAAAACAAGCCAAATGTGATTTTATCTGAAATGGTTTAGGAATCAACGGAACAAAAATGTCATCATATTTGAGTTGAACTGATTGATATTATTTTCATTTAGATGATCCATCTTGAGACATGAAAAATGATCGATTCAAATGGTTGTTGAAATGATTCAAAACATGTTCCAGGTTGCTATATTGATTGGTGAATAATTTGAATTAAACTCTTTGATGACATTTATGGGAATAATGGTGATGATCAACTTGATGAAATGACAAATGACAAAATAGACTAACATTGGAGAAATAATTCTTCAAACTATTCAAACTCAATTTACTGAACGGATTGTGATTCACACTGTTGATGGTTTACTTTGATTAATTGTATGGCCAATCACTTGGAATGTAATTCGTTGACATAAGAAGGCCAAATAAGTGCGAGGATCGCATTCTCAATTTTATTATGTAAATGTTACAAGTTTACATTTTCATCATTTTGTTGAGGCTTTCAGTTGCATTCATTGAAACATTCATTATTGACATAAGCAACATTACTCTCTGCTGAAACTGATAACAATAATGTTCCAATGTTTAACTTAAATTGTTATAAAGCTATAATGGTTGTACAATCAGATTCATTGTTTGCTTTTAATTTGAACAAAATTCAATAGTTGAAATACTCACCACTACATAGATTATAGCTTCAGTTGATTGAGCTGAAAATAAAACTCTCAAAGTTTTACCTTCTTCTTTCGGTGTTTCGTCCAAATCATAACGACTTATTAAAGGTAATAACTGACAAATTGATGAATCTCTGGAAAGATAAATCACAAAATTAGTCAACCAATTAACCAAATCAACCAGGAATAAGCAAACCAAAGACGATTCATTCAAACCACAAAATATCCAAAAGCCATATTCAACAATTTTTAGGTTAAATTCAATTCTTTCAATCATATCAACATTGAACAGTTTACTAATCAACTAAATGCTAGAAGCTAAAGACAAGCTGAAAATTTACATGAAGATACTTCAAGGGATAAAGAAACATTATTTTTCATGTTTCTTGCCCTTTGCTGTAACGAAATTAATGTTTTTGTGTTAATTTGAATGCTGCATCTGACAATCAATTATTACATTGTTAATATTGTATTCAATTATTAACAATAGTTGAGCAAATTATCCTTCTTATTAGAATCAATTTTATGATGGAAATAGTGAAAGCAAAATATCATAATTTAGGTATTCCTTGTTCATCTGGTTAAGTTTACCATCAAAATGTGTTTGGTTTACCTTTTTTTATATCGATTAAAGCTTGTTAACGATGTTTTTTACATAAATATTTAACCAATTTCATGATAATAAATGCTATTCATTGAGCCATTCAATATCGAGCTTAATTATCAACTTAAGTCTAATACATTTTGCTTGAATCTGCTTTGTTTAATGGCATTAAACCTCTTGTTATTCAGCTGTATAACATCACCAATTTATTATCCAACTTATTGTTTCAAGTTTCATTGATAATTAATGGTTAACCAAGAATGATAAAGTTCAAGTTTCGTATATATTGCGATAAATCAAAAGCAAAGGTAAAACAATTGATGTTTACTTATTCATCTACAGGAGATGATAACTGACATATTGAGTAAACATTATTGGCTTATTTCAATTATTTGACAAAAGACATGAACTAAGCCTTAAAAGACTGAGTAATTTATCAGTTCATCTCAGATTAACATTTCAGCTTTGGAACATTTTCTTCGTCTGTTTGTTTAAATCATTAGTTTTGATAATAAAATTGTAAGAGTTGGATTAGTTGACTGGGATAATCTTCAATGGACTTGTTTCAGGCATTTCAGGTTAACTTAAGTCGGATGGTTCAATATCTTCAAGTATTGATCTAACATTGAATTTACAGTTTCTAACAATCGAAGTAAATCAACATTTTTCAATTTTGTGAAAGTCCATTAGTTTAATTGTTGACCATTTTCAGTTACTTTAATTAATATTTGGACATTTCATTATGATCAACTTGCTGTCATCATTTGTCAACATTTCAACCATTTCCATCATTTTCAGGACAAATTAAAAAGTAATAAGTTTCCATGATTTACTCAACATTCAAATTGCAAATTGATTTTAGTTTTTTTCTTGCCCAAAGTCCATTACCTTTTCATGTTTGCATCATAAAAGCTGATAATCAAATGGAAATGTGATGAAGTAGAAAACATTTTTGACTCGACATTTTCAGTTTCATGATAAACTCATCATTAGAAAGGTAGAGAACAACCTTTTCTTTTCTTGTTCCATGTTTATTCAATGTTCATGTTGATCATACAGAATCAGGGAAAAGGAAAGGAGAAAATTGTGAAATGAAAAATATTGAAAATGAAGATGAAGAAGAAATATCTTCAGCATTTTAACTTTTCCTTCCCTTGCTCATCCCAAGTGATGTTATCATTAATATTATTGAAAATTTTGTCCTCAAAGTTTATGAATTTTTGTTTAGTTGCTGTTTCAACTGTAAATAGCCATGAGATGTTAAGCTCAACTAGTCAAAGTGAATGTCATCTAACCAAGCGAAAATGTTGACTTGGACTTTTTTTTGGTAGATAAACATGATTCTGAACGTTTTTTTTTGTTCAGTTTACTTTTTCTCCTTCTGTTGATGTGCAAAATGAAAAGCAAAATATCATGGATCAATGTTGCTCTGACAAAAAATTTCCAGAATAATCATGTTTACTCAGATGAAACAAGAAACTGTGAAACTGAAAGTAAAAAAACTGAGACAAAAAACAAAGCTAAAATAATGGAGCAATTTAAAGTAAAATGTAATCAACTTTTAATGTCAATTCAATTGAGGTAAACATTAAACCCAATGATTAACGGTGAAAGTAATCATGTTTCACTTTTAATTAAACATTAGAAATGAAAGATGATTTAACCAGAAAATTTTACAATTTAATTCAAGATTCTAACAAAGACTTAAATTCTCATGATTAAATTATGCTTTCATTCCATATTCAGTTGAGGATAAAATTCATGTTTTTCTGTTTGTTTATTGTTCTGAAAGTGATTCTCTTGTTGCCTTTGATTACTTATCAATGGGTTAAGATGAGGGTCTATGACAAGATCACAATCAATAGATTCATTGAATATCGAGATCGGAGATGAATGATGTAAGGAACTCAATAGTCACACTTTGATTTTTGAAGTTTAGTGTTGAGTTAGAGATGACACTTTACTATTTACAATAAAAGCGTAATTATCACGGAAGGTTAAGTTAATTTCAGAACTAATTAGGTAAAGAATTGGAGTCAGAAGGGTGTGAGTAAGATCAAGAAAGATGGATGAGCAACTTGGCTGAAATGGAAGTTCAACTGTTTTTTGAAATAAGGAGTGGTCCCTAAAAAATTGGACAAATTTCAACTGTTTATAACTTGGAAAGTATTTAATAATTGGAATTGGAATTGAGATAATACATTGATTAAGGACAGATAGTGGGACTTGTCTATAAACTTTCAGTAATTTTAAGTTAGTTTTGACCTAAAAGGCCACTCGAAGAGTGCGTCATCAAAATTTTTTAGTTCACTTCTCTCTAGAGCTCAGCAATTTTTTTATGTGACATTTTAGCGACTTTTTGACCTGAGCACGGTTTGGTCAAACCTTTCGTACCAATATTAGTTTTTTTCATGACTGCAGGAACAGTTAATCAAAAAATTCTGAGTTTTAAAACTAATTTTAAGCACTTCTTGGTTCATAGCTTGATAGCTAACCTCATAGGGATTTTACAAAACTGAACTAGCAAATTGCACGCATCATTCATCTAAAGACACTTTTTTCTATTTAATTGCATATTTTGATTCACGAGAATGATATTTTTGAAAAGTCCATAAAATTCTCGTCAATTTGAGCTATAGAATCCTTTATTCGAAGAAACTTAACATGGTTGAAATTTGTTTCAAAATTTGTCCAATTTTTTAGGGACCAATCCTTACATGTAGTATTCATAGCTTGTTAGTAGTAAGTTAGAAGGGAAGAGTCGAAGGGGCGGGTCAAACATGATTCAAATGAAGCAACTCGAAAGTTTCAAAAGTTTCAATTTCTTTTATTTTTAATCAAAAAGAATTACATTTTTCGTTTTTTTGAGCAATGCTCATCTGAGTATTCCTCGAACTCTCTCTTGCCTTCTTTGTCCTTTCGTAAGAAGGGACAAATATTACAGTTTTTTCGATAGGCAAGAGGGAGTTCGACAGAATCAGACGAAACTGAGGATTCGTCATCTAAATCACTTACTTCTTCATGTTGAGTTCCTTCAGTGAATGACGAATCCTCAGTTTCACTCATTTCTTCGTCATCAGATTGCTCGATGATAAAAGATGGTGTTGGTGATGGAGGTGGAGGTGGAGGTGAAATCACATCAGGTGAATATGATGGTGATGGTAGTGGTGGTGGTGGAGATGAATTTGATGGTGGAGATGGAGCTGATGGTGGAGCTGATGGTGGAGATGAAGCTGATGGTGGAAATGAATTTGAGGGTGTTGCAGCAACACAAATGGTCCCCTCACTAACATTGATGAGCAACTTAACGGTGCATTGCTGCATCATTGCGATTGTTGTTGCGGCCGTAACGGCAGAGAAAACGATCTCGTTGGCACTCATATTGAAAATTAAATAATCGAAGTATAAAATAATTATAATATAAAATAAAATGGATAAAAATAATTCAAAATTGAAACCAAATTAAAAAATTGTCACAAAAATGACTTGGAAAAAAGGTGAAAAGTAAAAAACTGACAACACAAACTGTCAACTTTGGCGAACTTTTTGGAAATGATACTCATTTTATCGTTCAATTTTGACCTAACGCGATCCTACTTTTTGACCTCATCACACCTTTGTGTTACATATCCACCTTGACCCTTTTTCACATCTATGTGTTACATAGGCCATAAACTGACCCTTTTCACATCTATGTGTTACATAGGCCATAAACCGACCCTTTTTCACACTATTGTGTTACATAGGCCATAAACGGACCCTTTTTCACAATAGCATGTTAGGTTCGACAAAGACCGAAATCAAAACAAACTTCTCAAAACAAGTTATTGATATAGCATAACGCCATCTACGCGAAATCAAAGTAACAAAAAGAGTTTTTTTGCAAAAGCGCTTTATTCAAGTCTTCAAAGTGTCATTATAGTAATTCCTCTCATGAATCATGTACAATATACGCATAATTATGATTACAGTTATGAATGATATTGTTAATAGCAGTTCCAACTTTTTACAAGTATCCATAGAGCAACAAACAGAGACTTACTTCATTATTTAGACTCTCTATGTCTTTATATGTTTTACAGCCAGTAATGATCATTTTTCCGGTATGAAATAACAAACACTTTTTCTTTTCATTGCGGTAATAAGCTGCTGGAAATAACTCAGGATAGTATTCGAACATCCGTGGTTTCTCTCTGCTCAACTTGTCGAGATTTATTTTACGCTTGAAGTTAGAAGTACCAACCATATTAACTATCTGACGATGATGAAATTCAATCGGCAGATTTAATTTCATGCAGAAAGCAGCAATAGTGGAATCAGCAGACTCAATGCTTTTAGCGCCGACCACATTTATCTTACCATAGTTGAATATGAGTAAGCAAGCAGTCTCGAACTTGAGAATAGCTCCACTGAATCTCTTCGGCCGGTAATCGATACCAGGGAAATACTCACTCAATTCAGCAAGCTTGAAGGGAAATCTAGTAAGATGATATTTTATAACAACGTTGCTTATTTCAGGTTTGTTATTCA